GGTTCTTTGACTTTCCGAAAAGGGCAGGGAACCAAAAACTCTTCTCGTCAGGAACTCATCTCGGAGCTTGCCCTTCGCTAGCCCATCACACAGCAAAAGTGGGCATTTATTCGGCCGCTTGGCGCCACGCAGGGCTGTTCGTTGAGGCCCGTTCGGGTAATGATGGCACGCAATGAGGTCATTCACGTTGGTGAAAGCCTGATCGTCGGGACCAAGGGGTAAGGTAGGTTCGAAGCTGGGGCCTAATGTAATCTTGAAGATGCACTTTTGTTTCCTTTTTTTCGCACAGTTAGTATATTAATATCAAAAAGCAGGATCTATGACTCAACGTACGAGGCAGAGCCGACGGCAACTTTTATCGCTGCTCAAAAGTGTGGCCCAAACACTCGAGGCTAAGAAGCCCTCGGTCTAAGCACGACTTCTGGGTAATGGATAACTGCGGCCCAGGCCACGGCTACTAGAGAAATGACTTGCAAAAGAAGACGAGCAGACATATTTCTGAACCTCTTGCTGGAAGTTTACTCCGCGGAAAGAAAGGGAAAACTTGTCAGCGGCGTCATCTGTAGCCCGCGGCTCAGACACGCATTTGGACTTTACATGCTCATTTCGAGTGTCATGTATGCAAAGTTCCAATCCTCAAAAGATGGAATGCAAGGCAGCTCGCCCTTGGTCTTGGAAGCACTGCACCAGTAATTCATATTCAGGTTGTAAGCCGCACTTACTGGATGCGATAGGTGAGAGTTCAGTCAGGTATACAACCTTTCGATTGCGCTTGCATTCGAGGCAAGCAGGCAGGTACTCAGTGATATAGTTTCAGGCTGATGATGATAAAGCACCCAGTTGTTCTGGCATTCTCCCTCTTTGCGGCTGTGCCACCTTTGAGCCTTGCATGCAATGCTACCACGACCTGCGCGGGTCCATGTCAGCCGAGGACGAGGTGCTTCGGGAAGCATGTCCATATCGAATGGCAGAAACCAATGCATTTGATCTCTGATACATTCTGTCAAACATCTCAGCCTGATTTTAGTCGTGCAAAAGTCATGCTCTCAAGTATAACAAGGCAGCGATATCGTGTATGAAACGGCACTTTTCACTCTATCCAGCACGAAAATCATTCCTTTTCAAAACGCCCATTCAATTATCAAAAAAAAAAAAAAAAAATTGATCAAACCAAAATTGATCAAACAAAAATGCTAACCCTTCTTGCCCTCAGTCTCTCTCTAATTTCGGCCGCCCCAGCCGGCGAGCCGTACTCAGAGGTCATCCCGGGTCCCGGCCTGCCCTCTCTCTCGGAACTCGGCCTCACTCACGTCTGCCGAGCTGTATCAGTTACCACTTCCCAAACCCCATAAGTGAGTATTGCAAATTGGTAGCCAAAAGGGCACCACAGAAGGAAATTTCCGCAGCGCCAGTGTTTTATTCCGTAGTAGCTGACAAGGCAAAACAGCGAGCGCGGACGACAACACCCTTGTCTTGTCTTGTACAATCCCGTCTGCGGACCCGAGGATGCGCGTTACACCAATGTCAATGGCATAATCGCCTGTTATCACAATCTCAATAATATTGGTACATGAATAGCCGCAACGTTGCCAATGCTGTGCTGTGGACCAATAGATCACTGCACCCGGCCTGACCAGAGCTGCGCCGGTCAAGACTTTGTACAGAACATGGAACAAAGGGCTCGATACTAACGCCACTGCTACCTTGGGTATCCAAGCTGCCTATGGCAACGGAGACCTTTTGGTGGCCTCTGGCACGAGGCGATTCTACGGTTAGCCTTGGAAGGCGTGCTGTGGACTTGCCGCACATATGGATGGCCGTTATCAAGTTTGTGCAGACAAGTCGCCTGTTGAGCCTTGGGTCGCGCTCAAATGCTTGCCGACAAGTCGTTATTGAAGAATGGATGATTTTTGTTGCCCCTTTACGTCTAGGAACCTATCAAGTTGCTACAAAGCCTCAAATGCAAATGCGACGCAGAATATTTTACGACGAGCAGGAAAATGAGCGTGTACCATGGATCTTGGATTCGTCTAGTGTGAGCGGCGAACCGGGCGCTAGACCAGATGGCAATTGAAGCTGGGCCTGGACTGCAATGGAAATAATTGTATAGATTTCGTGTAAATAGCGTAAATTGCCGGATCAGAATTTCAAGCATTGCCCTCACCCACTACTAGTTACTGTGAGAAAATGGGACCTGTCAAGTCTTTTTTCGACGGAAGCTTCCGTAGAACTGGCAAGGCCAAGAAGAAAGGACCAGGCAATGACCAACTAACTAGGTAATTAACTATTTAGTAGATGAAACATGTCTACACCTTGTAGCAGTACATTGAACAGCACGGAAGCTCATAAGGCACCCGGCCATATCCGCCAGCAGCATAACAGGCAACCGTCAAACGTCACCGTTCCCCCTCTTTCGACATCCATTCAACCCTCCACTTCCTTAAAACCCCTTGATAATACGATGTGCCCTTCTCAGCCCAACGCCCCTCTTCCAGAAATCATCTACGTCAGGCTGCATGAAAGACGGCCCGGATGGGTCTGGGGCGCGAGCCTTGCTTGGCCGTTGTCATCGTCATCGTCCCTGCTTGCATGTCAGTGTTTCTATTTTTAGCCATAGGCTGCTTTTGGTGTAAATAGTAGTTACCAGAGCACGTAATTAGCTGGGCAGAATTTTTTTTTTTCCCCGCAGACTCTGGACATTATAAACGCGCTGATGCTACAGCGTTTGTGGTTCGTCGCGAATGGTGCACGCCTGGAGGACGAGCTTGCTCAACCCGTACCCTAGAGCCGACGTAACGGCGAGATTCGCTCTCTACAAACGCCTTGTCCCTGGAATAATATTTTTGTTGACAGCAGAGCAGAGCACAGCTCAAAGTTCTTCTTCTGCAAGTTTCTGTCTGGAATGTGACATTTCCTTCCAGGGCGATTAAATACCTGTTATGAATGCGATGAAGACGGCGATCTCGGAGAGACTCGGCAATCATCAAAGAGGTTGAAAAAAAAAGAAAAACATATATTCGAGTAAACGTTTTGTGCGTTTAGCTAGTTGGTTATATACAATAAGTTCTTAATCAACCTAAATATCCTTCAAAAATTTGATTCCAACGAACCGCTGTTCGTCGCTCACTCGCTTCCAAAGGAAATCAGAACACGAAGCCCGAAGCCGTACAATTTCACTTTGCCGAGCACCAAAGTCTTTGAATAGAACAGACTTGAATGTCGCTACAGAAACTACTTGAGAAAGTCTTGTTCTACGCATTCCATGCCAATGTGCTTGTCTGGCTCGCCTTGCTGCTGGCCAGACCAGGAGCTCCCGTCATCCCACTCTGGAGAGTACGCTCTCTGTACTCTTTGAACACGAGTACATGCATCTTACTCTCGCATGCAACGTTTAGGGCGCATTCTCCCAATATTTTTCTCTTCCAAAGCTCCCCTACTCTCGGTGAGCGATGCTGACAGCTCGCTGTTCCACAGACCGTTCTTGCCATCGGAACTTGCGTAACAGCGTACCGCGCGCCGTTGTGCACCGCCGTTTTCGTACAACGAGGCAAACTAGTCAAAGAGGCGCGACAGGAAAGAGGGAAAAGATGAAGTGGGCGCGATACCCTGCTGAAGCTGTTGTTGTACGGGCCAGACTCCTTCTCGGCGACGTCGACCATCTTCGGAGATGCGATATTTTTTTTGGCTCGCCAAATAGCTAAAGTGTAGTTTAGCAGCCTTTTCCAACACCATTTTCAAGTTGAAAGTGACAAGAAAGACGTGGTGTAGCGTAGAAACGGTACCGAAAAGTTGGCCCAACAGCACAAAAGTCGCCGCATTAGAACGTAGGCTCGCTGCGAGCTGCTGATAGCGCAGATTCGCCTTGCTGAATACGTTGTTCTAAAGGAAAGTGTCATCATGTTCCTTCTACCTAGCTGGAGAGTGAGTTTCTGCTACGCGCGCGTTTGGTATGTCGTTGGCCTGGTAGAGGAGCTGTCATGCTCTGCCATCCTCTTCATGCGTGCTTTGCTTTTTGTATCCTGATGCAAAAGGTCATTGATAACGTACCAGGCAGCCAGCTGTGCCCTTGGGCGGCGTATTTATGTAGCGTTTTGCGTGCTTCAAATGTGAAGGCCGTTAGCGGCAGGTGGCGGCGGCGAGAGTTTGTCGCATCTGATGTGGGATGTAAGTGGAAAACCCTGGTTTCTGCATCCGAGAAGGATCTTGCAGAACCATGGTTTTGGATGCTTGCATATCAGAGAAATGAAATATTTATGGCGAATTTTATTGGAAAATAATTTTGGACAAACGTCCAGTTGGCTATACAGCATCGCTATACAGTGTCGCGCAAAAAGTCGTTTCAACCGACTGTTTGTGAGAGATATCCACAGGTCTCTCGATAGGCGGGCTGTTGATGTTTCGAATTCCAGCAACAAAGAGTTGCGGTATGACTGACCAAGAGAAAGAATCTACCGGCTTCGAATTCGCAGCGTCTATGGTGGCTCGCTGCGGTCGCAATTACCATCGCATGGTCTACTTTGGCCTACTTTGATATCTAAGCACATCGACTCGCGTGGGCAGTCGTGCGCTTGATGACGGCGGGACGGGTAAAGCCCAGCTTTCGCGCCGGCGGCTGTGAGCTGTGTGATTGTCTCAGACGTTCGCTGCCAAACTGAGCACGGAACGGATGGTGGCTTGTACAGAGTACGTTGAGCCATTATCGGATCCGTACAGTGCCAAGTGCTTCAAAATTTGATTCACTGAAATGACTGAGACTGGCTTGTCTTGGGCTGTTTGTTAGTGCTATCAGCAGCTGGGCTGGGGAACTTTGACTTTGCAATTGCCGCGCCTTGCCACATGGGGCAACGGCTGCCGCAACGGTCATGACTGGTCCAAACAGGTGAATGAATACCTTGCTGGGAGGGAATTGGAGCTTTCATTATCTTGGAATTCTGGGGAGCAGAACCAGTTGTCGAGGGTGTTGACCAAAGATTTCTGGGTGCCAGAGCATCGCTGCTTGGGACTTCAATTCCATTTGAGCCTATCGACCAGGCTGCCGTTCCGCTGTCTTTCCCGTAGGCTGCGCTGCGTGTCTCAGCTGCGCGAGCAACTTTTACCGGTGTGCTATTTATTCGCCGAGAAGCGAGCAGCAAATGAAGAGGGCCAGCGAAGTGTTTCCTTTTGTCTCACGGTGTCGTCTCGTTATTCTCGGTGCTGAAGCGCCGCCAGGAATCTTCGTACACAGCTGACGGACTGTACTGACTGCCCTGGCGCATTCGAGTCTGTTGGCCCCCAATCTCACGCGGAATTAGTTGGATAGGCGGGGAAGACGGTAATCCAAAGGCGCGTCACACAGCCTGCGGTGTGATTATGCAGTGAACTCGCAAGTGAACAGACACTCGCTGACAGGGATGACAGTCGTAGGAATATGTAATAAATTATTGTGGCCTGCAGATTGTGCTTCTGGTCGGTGCCAACGGTCAGGTTGTCAGCGCGCCAGTTGTCAATAGGTAGGTACACAGGCTTACTCAGCCCAGTGTTAGCCTCAGCCCGGCTTTGGTCACATCGCTTTGCACCAGTAAAATTGTCATCGAAGCTGTTGCCTACCAAAGCTTCTCAACCCTCGGATTTCGTCCTACATTAACTGGATGAATCCCGCCCGTTTCTCGTCGCACCCACGCACGCTCTTGCTTTTGCTCTGCCATCAACGCCTGCGTGTTCGCTGTGCTGCTAGTTGCAGCCTGCTAATCGTCCTTTGATTTCACAGCGCTGCTCCAGTGGGCGTTCCGCCGCAGTACAGCCAAGAGCCCGCGAATCCGCTGTTCGGGGTTCAGAGGCCAACCGACCCTCTGGAAAGCACCCAATACAAGCTAAACGGCCACCCATTCCCAGCGGGTTTTGCGCCTACCTAATTGATCGCCCGGCTGGGTTGCCGTGTGTTTGCAGAAATGCCCCCGTCTACTGTCTCTGCGAGAGGCTCGCGTCCGGCTGGCTACGGACAGTCCTGCACCAACTGCTCTCGCGCCAAGTGCAAGTGTATTCTGGCCGCTGCTGGTGACGCATGCGAACGTTGCACTCGCCTCGGAAAAGAATGCCAGCCGATAGTCACGGCGAGGAAAAAGGTGGCCAAGAGGACCGCTGCATCACGGACGGCCCAGTTGGAGGAGAAGCTTGATGACCTCGTCTCCATCCTCAAAAACTCCCAAGGACATCCCGCCCAAGAACAGCAGCAGCAGCAGCAGCAGCAGCAGCAACAGCACCTGCAGGAACAAATCGCGCAGCATCAACGGCACCTAGACTACAGTCATATGCAGCATGTGCCGCAACAGACAAGATCGCAAACCGCGGCCCTCGACTCGCTTGCCCAGGCCGCAACCACTGAGCGGCACAATAGCTCCGGGATGTTTCGCGGCAACATCATTGACCCAAACATGGCCAGCGGCCACATGCAGCGTGACCCGACTGCTGAAGAGGCCGATGTCCATCTGGCAAAGTTTCGCACTTGGCTGCCCGGTCTGCCATTTCTTCACCTTCCTTCCGACATGAGCGCCAAAACTCTAAGAATGGAGAGACCATTCCTGTGGCTGTCAATTATGAATTTGGCGTCAGACTCTCACTCACAGCAGCAATTCCTGCGCGACAAGGTGCGCAGAGAAATGTCGGAGCGCATCATCATGAACCATGAGCGCAACATGGACATTGTACAAGGCCTTATTGCAAACCTAGGATGGTATGTCTGCCTAGATCCAACCTCAACCCAGATCTAACGCCGCATGCAGGGCCACATTAAATACAGGACCTGGTGCCAGACCATTCGTCGTTTTGTTCTCGCAATTAGCGACGCTGGTCATTTATGAACAGGGCATGATGCGCCCGCCCAATCAAGAACACTTTTCCTCGGTTGGCTTCAAGGCCTGGAACATGAGCACCCTCACGCCAAAAGCTCGCACAATGGACGAGAGGAGGGCCGTGTTGTCGTTGTGGTTTCTCACATCAATGTTAGTAATATTAAGGATACGGAATGTCACGGCGCACTAACGTTAGCAGATGCAACGCCCTCACTGCGCGGACAGAGACCTTGCCGTGGACGAGCCACATGGACGAGTCTCTAAGCATACTCGAACGCGGCGATGATCAGCACCTCGATGCCATGCTCGCAACAATTATTAAGATACAGAGAATCTGCGACGAAGCCCACCGACTGCTCATGCAAGATTTACTTCCCAACGCACCTGAAAAGGACATTCCGACATATCTCTATAAACCAAGTCTCTTAGAGAGGCTCAACACCATCCAAGCAAATCTACCACCCCGATTTACTACCAATTGTTTGTCTGACCCTTGTTTCATATACTGTGACACGACTGACCCATGATAGACACCATTATTACACATCTCGTTTCGACAGAATGCCAAATTCACGCCATCGGCTTGTTTTCAAACCATCGAATACCAGAGACGCAGAGCGTTGAGTCAATGTATCAATGCCTTGTTTGCATTCGAGCATTCTACGACGCCTTCTTTTCAATCCCACTGGGCGATATTGCTGGCCTTCCACTCCACACATATGTTGCCCTCTCTACAATGCAGGTCATGTTATACAGACTCACCATTTCCGACAACCCAAACTGGGACAAGGAGGTAGTACGGCAGACGGCGGACGTCATGGATATCGTGGACAGAACGATTGAGCTTTTTGAAAAGGTGGCAAGTGTATATCCGATGCGCGACCAGCAGGTCCAGGGCAATCTGTTCCAAAAAGGCGCCAAGCAGATGCGCAACCTGCGCGCCATGTGGCAGCCCATTGTGTCGAAGCATTTCGGCACGATGCCCACTCCCACCAGCCAGCATAACAGTGCCAGCAGGGCCGCGACCGAGCAGCCTATGCTACTGGATACAATGGTGGACGGCGAACCGATTGACTTTAATGACATGTCATGGATGGCCGATATATTTGGGCCCTGGGGAGATATGCAGTGACGATTTTGTACAGCAGCTTACACGGTTTGTCATGGCCACTTATGATACTATACGGTATGCACCGACGTTACTATACGAATTTAATGCGAACCGAGTTCTGGATCTATACATTTTGGTACGTGTGATGTCGTGCAACGGAGCTGGTGGCGCACGCTGATGGACGAGAGTGGCGCAGCGCATAGGCAGTTGCCATGTCCATATAGTGACACGACCAAGAGCAAAAAGTTGTCAGCCAGATGCGACTAGCTGGCTATAAATCCAAGGCTATTTCTTTAAGATAACTATGCCTGGTGGATATGCGCCCAGGGGCTCGGTAGATGACAGACTTTGTAGTTAGGTGGATATCCTTTTCAGGGCGGCCCTGTCATTTCGCTGGCAGTGCCATCTCACGTCTTTATACGGAGCGTAGCGGAACATGCCCGGCTTACGCGATGAATTGTGGTGGGAAAAGAGAACGTGTGACCAATGATGCTGTATTGTGCATCGTACGGCATTGGCGTTGTTGCGTGAAACGGGGCTCGCCCAGGCTCGTGAAAGGCGTCCGCCACAGCGGAGGCTCTTTAACCCATCTACTGGTACGACACGGATCGTCTGATGACAAAACTTTCTCAAAGCCTACTTGCCCCCCCCCCCCTTGCTCGCATTTTTAGGACAGGCGTTCATCATCAGATGGCGCACGCACAATTTCCAACGTGGCGAGCGGAGCCGACTTACGCGAATCCCGTCGTCAGCCAGGGCTTGTCCATGTGGCTTTTTTCTAGATGCGAATAGATACGTCTCACGGCTAAGCCTTGCGATTGCAAGGGTTCACGCTCCGAGATGCCCTTTTGAAGAATAGAATCTTGATGGATGCCCATGGTGTCTACCATGACACACCATCAAAGCCTAGTCAATGTGAAGGTTGTAAGCCATGAACGGGCAACTGTAGAAATAGCCCCACCTCGAGAAGAAGCCCCAGAGAAGACAAGAACGATAAGTTGGTAGAAAGGGCGACAAAAAGGTAATCTGCGTCTCCCTCATGCCCATCTCCGCTCGGGATTATTATATGGAGAACAGGACCGGGGCCATCTCAGCATAACGATTACCGAATCGGGGATGACAGCAGGTAAGGGGAAGCCTTGGCTGCAGGGGCGGAAGGGAATTCAGCTTACATGCCCACTCTGGTGCTCCTACAGCGCCTTCTTTGCATACCTATCACCTTTGGCGTGAGACTGGGGAAAGCAGCTAGACCGGGATGGTGTCGAGAGGGTATAACATTATATTTGGACGAATGGGAAATTTTAGCAAAAGCCTTTGAGATGGTAAATAAAAGAACAATAGGAAAGCGAGAGTCCGTCGATCGCCAGCGTGGCCCATGTGGGAGATCTATTTCATAGCGGAGAGACACATGATAACTAAGTGAGACAACTTTAACAACCACGCTACTATAGGAAGAAACGACCCCAATCAAGTACATTCATAAAGAAAAAAAAGGAAATAAAAAAGAAATAAATAAATAAACTAGCCATTTATTCGGTGGCGTTCTAGAAACAAAGGCAGCATGGTACTGATGGCAGAGCACTTTGGCCCCAGCCGGGATTAGAGTTGTGCTTACACCTGTTGTCCTATTTCGGAAGCGTTTCCCGTGCGGCGCTGCTGACGGGGTTGTGCGCAACCACCACCTTGACTAGCAACCGGGATTCGTGCAAAGTGGGCGCTGCATAGGGAATCGAGCAGGCAGACAAAGAAAAAAACAGCACAAGGGGCGATCCAAAGAGTGGCAGAATCTGAATACGGGAAGTGCGCTGCAAAAGTGGCGGCAACGCAAAGGGCTCCATCGTGTAAGATGACGAGGGGATTTGGCCCGGGGCTGCGCCAGAGCTGTCCCCCAAGGCCGACAGATTCGAACCGGTGGCCCTTGTTGCATGAGGAGGCGTTTTCTAACTGCAGAAGTGGGTGGAATTGGGGAACCTTTTCTTTATCTATACTGCAGTGCCCACCTGCCCGGGACTTGTAGATGATGTCTCACACTTGTATACTTTCAGAGTGACAGGACGATCCTTTGAACGACTTCTCATTTCTGCATCACGTAGACGGCAGACTATACCGATCTTTACACAAGAGTGACGCAACGACGACTGAGTTGTAGTGGTGGAAAACACGACAAACATCTTCACGGCGTGGCAACGACAAGAAGAAATTCAGAAAGTCTTACTACGAAGAGGCGACAAGAAGAAGCTCGAAAAAAGTCCTACTACCAAGAGGCGCGACATTACGCAAAAACGAGATCCAAGATGGGTCGCTCAAAACGAAGTCTCACCCATCCGTTGAACGGGCCAGCGTCCGAGTCCGAGTCCGCAGACCGCTCCCACAACCGGTCCGCGTCGACCGTCGCCGAGCGCCCGCCGCAGCTGCCCGAGATTGACCTGGAACCGCTCGACTTTGCCGTGCTCCGGGAGAAGCGCGCCTCCATGGCCACCAACCCGGACACAAACTACGGCCTCGACATGTTTGACGTGCGCCTGTCGTACAATGCGGCGCGCCGCAGCCTCATTCGCGAAAAGGACGAGCTGCCCGACTTTTCCGGTCTCGGCAACGACAATAATGACGGCGACAAAGATGGCATTCCCGCCGTGCCGGACCTGCCTGCCGACCTCCGCGTCTTGCACTCGTCCAAGATGAGAGAGGTCCTCGGCATGGATCCCGGTGAGGAGACCGAGGTTGAGCGCGACGGCTCGTATACGCCGGATTCGGTGCTCAAGAGGAAGGCCGAGGAGGCCGAGGCAGCGGCGGCGGCAGCGGCGGCAGCAGCAGCGCCCGAGTACATTCACGGCTGGAGGTTGTTTAGTGTCATGCTGGCGATTACGCTGGCGTGCTTTTTGTACTTGCTGGACGTGTCGATTCTGGTCACTGTGAGCTTTTCTCATGGAAGCTGGTGCAATATGATGTTGGGAATTTTTCTTTGCTAACGCTATTACTATAGGCGATTCCCAAAATCACCAGTGATTTTCATTCGCTCACGGATATCGGCTGGTACGGTGCCACTTACAACTTGGCGAGGTACGAGAACATCCCATCACCGGTTTCAATGAGACCATTTATACTGACAGACAACAACAACAAAATTACAGCGCCGCTCTTCAGCCGCTCTCTGGGAAATTTTACACCTACTTTCACGCCAAGTGGACCTTTCTCGCCTTCTTCCTCGTCTTTGAAATCGGCAACCTTCTCTGCGGCGTCGCCACGTCGTCGACCATGATCATCGTGGGCCGCACCGTCGCCGGCGCCGGCGCGTCGGGCCTCACCAACGGCAGCTTCGCCATCGTCACGGCCTGCGCGCCCATGGAGAAGCGGCCGCAGCTCATGGGCATCCTCATTGGCGTCTGCCAGATGGGCCTCGTGGCCGGCCCGCTCATCGGCGGCGCGCTGACCGAGTTTACCAGCTGGCGCTGGTGCTTCTACATTAACCTGCCCGTCGGCGCCGTCACCGTCGCTGCCTTTCTCGTCACGGCCATCCCCGACAAGCGCAAGTACATAGTCCAGAGTGACAGCCCCGGAAAGCTGACGCTGCGCAAGATGGACATGGTGGGCTTCTTGCTGTTTGCGCCCGCCGCCGTCATGATTCTGCTGGCTCTCGAGTTTGGCGGCAACAGGTACGCCTGGCGCTCGCCGACCATCATCGGCCTCTTTATCGGCGGCGGCGTCCAGGTGCTGTTGTTTCTCCTTTGGGAGCGCCGCGTCGGCATGACGGCCATGATCCCGCTGCCCATCATTGGCAAGAGAGAGGTGTGGACGGCGTGCGTGGCCAGCATGTTTATGTTTTCCACCATGCTCGGCGCCGGATACTACCTGCCCGTCTACTTTCAGACGGTGCGCGGCCTCTCGCCCCTGCGCAGCGGCGTCTCCATGCTGCCCGCCATTGTCACGCAGCTGGTCGTCACCGTCGTGAGCGGCGGCCTGGTGCAGCGCGTCGGCTACTACCTGCCGTTTATGATTCTCAGCGCCGTCATCATCGCCGTCGCCAACGGCCTGCTGTCCACCTGGGGCCTGCGCACGCCCACCGTCGTCTGGGCCGGCTACCAGGTGCTGCTCGGCTTTGGCCGCGGCATGGCGTTCCAGATGCCCGTCATTGCCATTCAGGCGCACACCCCTCCCGCGCTGGCGTCGGTTGCCACCGCCACCATGGTCCTGTTTCAGACATTTTTCGGCGCCATATTTCTGGCCATTATCAACACGCTCTTCAACACCAAGCTGAAGAAGGAGTTGAGCAGCCGCGTGCCGGAGATTGGCGCCGACAAGATTATCAATGCCGGTGCTGCCGATATCAGCAGTGTTGTCCCTGCTGATAGGATTGATCAGGTTCTGCAATCATACTCCCTTGGTGTAAACGAAGTGTTTTACGCCATTGCAGCTATTTGCGTGTGCATGTTTGTCTTTTCGTGGGGGACTGGCTGGACCGACATTCGCAAGAAGCCGGATCAAAAGAGCGGCGACGTCTGAGACGTCGGAAACTCATCTCATTTCTCTGATTGTTTTCAAATTTTTTTTTCATCGCTTCATTGGTTACAACTGTTTAATTCTGCGGATGACGGCGACGAGTTAATCAACCATTTGATTTGAGTTGACTCGTGGCTTTCTTGTTCTTGTTTCTCAGCATTCTTCACACACATTCACACTCACTGTCGCTGCATACATGGAGTTTCGGCTTGCTTTGACTTCTTGGGCCCCTTACAGGCATTTGTAAACTCATCGCAGCATGACTTTACAGCATGCATGCTGAGGTTCCCATCAGACAGATTCGTATCGTATATACATTACGACTTGAACGCACATAAAACATAAATGTACCAATTATGAACACCATCACATTTACCGCGAGGAGTAGAAAGCGACAGCAATCTAATTGAAGAACAAAGAAAATTAATCTTATTAGATGCGGGAGTTGCGGGCGCTACAGTGCGTGGATGTCGGCCGCTTGCCATGAGTTCTGCCTAGTGAACCATTGACTGCAAACCTACATCGCACACAATACTCTCAACCACATTGCATCTAATGCTGCGAACACTGGCCCGCATTCACATCAGAAATACCTGTCAAAATACTCTTCTCAGAACGCTCTCGATGGAGCGTCCGCGAAACCAACAGCCGCGGCCGCCAAGAGGGAACAATCGCGGCGGTCGTGGTGGCAGAGGCGGTAGAGGAGGTGGTGGACGAGGTGGACGAGGTGGAGGCCAGGGCCACAGAGCACCAGCCACGCCGCAGCAGGCGGCCGGCACCGTGCCTACGATCCGAGACGTTGCCCCCGGCGCCGGTGTCTTTATAATTCTCAAGGAAGACCAGCCTACGGGGAGAGAAACGCGCGGTGTGGTGGGTGAGGTGCTCACGTCGGGCAACCATCCGCGAGGCATTAAGGTGCGCCTGCGCGGAGGCCAAGTCGGCCGAGTACAGCGCCTGGACAAGACATCAGCCGAGGATGCGGATCATGAAGAAAGACGGCTCGCCGGAAGCGATACGGGCTCGTCGAATACGCGGACGCATGCTGGCCCTGCGCGCGGAGGAGGAGGAGGAGGAGGAGGCGGTGCAAGATTTTCGCATCGATATACGGATGTGCGCAACGACGACTACCTGGAAGGACCGCCGGAAAGAAGCTTGGCGGATTTTCTACCAGCTGGATTTGGGGTACCTGAAGCTTCTTCCGAAAAGATGGCAGCGCCGACGGTTCGTTGCCCAATGTGCGAGGATTTTGAGGGTGACGAGGCGGCAGTGACGCATCACTTGGATCAAGTGCATCTCGTTTGAGAGAGAAAAAAAGGAAGCCAGGTTGGCATTGTCTTTTGACGCGATGCTGACACGATACATTACAAAAATCTTACTCGACAGTGTAATGGACACATGAGAAACTTTGAGCATTGTCAACGGAACGATATAGATGAGACCGTCGGCTAAAGGCATGATGGAAAGGGGTTCTGAGCTAGACTTGTCGCATGGTTTCTGAGGTACTATTATATTGCTCATAGAACAGGATATATAAGGTTCAGCTTAGTTGCACATCATTCAATATCCAAACAGACATTCTGTTTGGCAGATCCATGAATCTATGTCTGGGGTAGTTAGCCTGGGAGGTAGGAAGGCAGGATAGAAGTCAAGTTGTAGTTTGATGATGTATAAACGGTCAAGGGAAATGATAATTGTCGGTTGTGAGAACAGTTCAAAGAAACGGATAGGAATCCCAAGCGAAAATTGACTGTGCTGAGGCCGTCACCAACGAGAGGTACGTATGCAATGTACGCTGCTGCCAGCTGGCGAAGCTCTGTTGACAGCTGGCAAGCTCGGTTTGCAAGTGGCAACTGGCAGCTTTTCGCTTGGGCATTGACATTGGCACTGCCCAGCAACAAACGCATGTGCTAGCCAACCAGACGCGGCCCTGTGGGACGGAACATGATTGATCCACCCGTTTTCCAAATAGATTGGGGCAGCCCACTAGGCGGGCGTGCCTGAGCCAATTATGCTAGCGACGGTGCAGGCAGTGGTGTGTTCAGTGCGTTTTTGGAGCGCTGCTTAGCTTTTGCCTGCTTGGAACTTGTCTGCGTAATGCTAAATCGGTACGTACCTCCATGCTTCTGCACTTTCCCCAGCAAGGAAGGACACCTCGCGCAAGTGACAGGTAAGCCCTCCACCAAACAGTCTGCCTGCCTTCTCCTTAACCTCATCAAACAACCCTCATCTCATCCAAACACGCGACGATTCTTCCGTCCATTCACCCCCCACTTCGGAAGCCCTATCTCGCGACATTCTTTCATTTTCATCCAGTTTAATTCTGCTGCGTATTACTCTGTCTGCTTCAGCTTCTCTCCTTACTTTGCGCCTCCGCCGCGCCGAATCCGTGCATGGGCATTGGGCCACAAGCTTCCAACTCCCTAAACGTCATCGAAGAGCGCCTCGTCGCTCCCCGACAACCTCGAGTCCGCACCCTTTCTGCTGCGAGCTTTTTCTACGCAGCTTGCATTAACAGCACCGAGCTGTCTTTTCACCGATTCCGGTCCTGATAGATTCACACCCGGCGCCATGGCGCCCCTACCTATCAAGTTTCAAGAGCTCGTCCAGCTCGGCAGTGTCGGTGTTGACGCGCAATCCGTTGGCTTCAACTCCTGTGTAAGTTCTTCCATAATTCTCACAATGGTCTCGGAAACTCGATGGAGCTAATTGGTCATTTCCCCCCGCCCCGCAGACTCTCGAGTCCGACACATACATTTGCATCCGAGAACAAAAGAGCGAAGGAGCTCAACCAGAGGTCGTCATTGTCGAGCTCAAAAATGGAAATAATGTCACACGCCGGCCCATCAAGGCCGACAGCGCTATCATGCACTGGAATCAGCATATCATTGCTCTCAAGGCGCAGTCGAGAACGCTGCAAATCTTCGATCTTGAGCAGAAGAAGAAGCTCAAGTCCTCCACAATGAATGAGGATGTCCAGTTCTGGAGATGGGTGAGCGACAGTACTCTCGGTCTTGTCACCACTACCAGCGTATACCACTGGGATATTACCGATGCTGCCCAGGACAGCCCCGTCAAGGTTTTTGACCGCAATGCCAACCTCAACGGCTGCCAGATCATCAATTACCGCGTTAACAGCGACGGCAAGTGGATGGTCGTTGTCGGTATCTCCCAGCAGCAGGGCCGTGTCGTCGGCGCCATGCAGCTCTACTCCAAGGACCGCGGCATCAGCCAGGCCATCGAGGGTCACGCCGCCTCCTTCGGTACCCTGCGCCTCGAGGGTGCCCCCCAAGATACCAAGCTCTTCAGCTTTGCTGTGCGCACTGCCACCGGCGCCAAGCTTCATGTTGTCGAGGTCGATCATGCCGAGTCGAACCCAGTCTTCCAGAAAAAGGCCGTGGACATCTTCTTTCCACCCGAGGCCACAAATGACTTCCCTGTCGCTCTACAAATTTCTCAAAAATATGGCGTTGTCTATATGGTCACCAAATACGGCTTCATCCATCTCTACGATCTTGAGACGGCTACTCTAATCTTCATGAACCGCATCTCGAGCGAGACCATCTTCACAACGTGTGCCGATAGCGTCTCGGCCGGTCTTGTGGCTATTAACCGCAAGGGTCAGGTGCTCTCGGTGACCGTCGATGAGACCACCGTCATTCCCTACCTTTTGGAGAATCCCGCCAATACCGAGATCGCCATCAAGCTGGCTTCGCGAGCTGGTCTGCCTGGTGCCGACAACCTCTACGGCAGACAATTTGAGCAACTGTTCAACGCCGGCAATTATCAGGAAGCCGCCAAGATCGCCGCCAACTCGCCCCGTGGCTTCTTGCGAACCGCCGAAACCATCGAAAAGTTCAAGCGCCTTCCTACCCAACCTGGCCAGATGGCTTTCACCCTTCAGTATTTCGGTATGCTGCTCGACAAGGGCTCTCTGAACGAACACGAGACGATCGAGTTGGCACAGCCTGTGCTGCAGCAGAATCGCAAGCATCTCCTCGAGAAGTGGCTTGGTGAGAACAAGCTGGACTGCTCCGAACGACTCGGCGACATGGTTCGCCCTTATGACGTGAACATGGCCTTGACCGTTTACCTCAAGGCCAATGTGCCCCAGAAGGTCGTCGCTGGATTTGCGGAGACTGGTCAGTTTGACAAGATCCTTCCGTACTCGGCCCAGACCGGCTATAAGCCCGATTATATTCAGCTGCTTCAGCACATCATTCGTGTCAACCCCGAGAAGGGTGCCGAGTTTGCTACAGCCCTCGCCAACAGCGATCAGGGCCCTCTGGTAGACTTTGAGCGCGTCTGCGACATCTTTCAGTCACAGGGCATGGTTCAGCAGGCCACTGCTTTCCTCCTTGATGCCCTCAAGGACAACAAGCCTGAGCACGCCCGTCTCCAAACCAGGCTTTTGGAGATGAACCTGATGCATGCCCCTCAGGTCGCGGAGGCTATACTGGGCAATGATATGTTCACCCACTTCGACAAGGGCCGCATTGCCCAGCTTTGCGAACAAGCTGGTCTTCCTCAGAAAGCCCTGGAGCTCTACGAGGACCCCGAGGCCATCAAGCGCGTCATTGTCAACATTCCAGGCAGCCCCAACTTCAACCCCGAGTGGCTCTCCGGCTTCTTCGGCAAGCTGTCCGTCGAGCAGTCTCTAGATTGTCTCGATGCAATGATGAAGACCAACATCCGCCAGAACCTACAGTCTGTTGTCAACATTGCCACCAAGTACTCTGAGCTTCTTGGGCCTGTCCGTTTGATCGATCTATTCGAAAAATACAAAACTTCCGAGGGTCTCTTCTACTATTTGGGAAGCATTGTCAACCTATCTGAGGATCCCGATGTGCACTTCAAGTACATCGAGGCTGCCACAAAGATGGGCCAGTTCAACGAGGTCGAGCGCATCTGCCGTGACAGCAATAGCTACAACCCCGAAAAGGTGAAGAACTTCCTCAAGGAGGCCAAGCTTCCCGAACAGCTTCCTCTCATCATTGTCTGCGACCGATTCAATTTTGTCCATGACCTCATCCTGTTCCTCTACCAGAACAAGCACTTCCAGGCTATTGAGGCATATGTCCAGCGTGTCAACCCCTCACGCACTCCAGCTGTTGTTGGTGGCCTACTTGATGTTGACTGCGAGGAGAACATCATCAAGCAGCTTCTGAGCACTGTCAATGCCCAGGAGATCAACATCGACGAACTCGTCGCAGAAGTCGAGTCTCGCAACCGCCTCAAACTTCTCCTTCCTTTCCTCGAGGCCACTCTCCAGGCTGGCAACCAACAGCAGGCTGTCTTTAATGCTTTGGCCAAGATCTACATCGACTCGAACAACAACCCTGAGAAGTTCCTTAAGGAGAACGATCAGTATGACACTCTGACTGTTGGTAAATACTGCGAGAAGCGTGATCCCAACCTCGCCTACATTGCCTACTCCAAGGGTCAGAACGATCTCGAGCTCGTTAACATTACCAATGAAAACTCTATGTACCGCGCTCAGGCTCGTTACTTGCTCGAGCGTTCCGACGGTGAGCTGTGGAACTTTGTCCTCAGCGAGAACAATATTCACCGACGCTCTGTTGTTGATCAGGTCACTGCCACTGCTGTCCCTGAGTCGACTGACCCTGCCAAGGTTTCCGTCGCTGTCGCTGCGCTGCTTGAGAACGACCTGCCGCTCGAACTCATCGAGCTGCTTGAAAAGATTGTTCTTGAGCCTTCCCCCTTCAGCGACAACCAGAATCTTCAGAATCTCCTCTTGTTCACGGCTGCCAAGGCTGACAAGGGTCGTGTCATGGACTACATTCACAAACTCGATGGTTACAACGCAGACGAAATCGCCACGTCCTGCATTGACGTCGGTCTGCACGAAGAGGCCTTTGAGATTTACAAGAAGGCCGATAACAAGTCTGCCGCTGTCAACGTTCTCGTCGAGCACGTTGTGAGCATTGATCGGGCCCAGGCTTATGCCGAGGAGGTTGACCTGCCTGACGTATGGAGCAAGGTCGCCAAGGCTCAGCTCGACGGTCTGCGTATCACTGATGGTATTGATTCCTATATCAAGGCCGAGGACCCCTCGAACTACAACGAAGTGATTGAAACTGCTACTCATGCTGGCAAGGACGAGGACCTCGTTCGCTACCTCCGCATGGCCCGCAAAACTCTGCGTGAGCCTGCCATTGACACCGCTCTCGCCTTTTCGTACGCCCGATTGGACCAGCTACCCGAGCTGGAGGATTTCCTTCGCGCGACTAATGTCGCCAACATTGAGGAGTCGGGCGATAAGGCCTACAACGAGGGCCTCTACGAAGCTTCCAAGATTTTCTTCACCAGCATCTCCAACTGGGCCAAGCTTGCCACTACCCTCGTCCATCTCGAGGATTACCAGGCTGCCGTCGACTGCGCCCGCAAGGCCAATAACATCAAAGTCTGGAAGCAGGTGCACGGTGCTTGCGTCAACAAGAAGGAGTTCCGCCTGGCTCAGATCTGCGGTCTGAATCTTATTGTCGATGCTGAGCAGCTGCAAGAGCTCGTCAAGGAATACGAATACAACGGCTACTTTGATGAGCTTATTAGCCTTCTCGAGCAGGGCCTTGGCCTCGAGCGTGCTCACATGGGCATGTTCACTGAGCTTGGCATTGCTCTGTCCAAGTACCACCCCGAGCGCCTCATGGAGCACATCAAGATCTTCTGGTCCAGGATGAACATGCCAAAGATGATCCGCGCGTGCGAGGAAGCCAACCTGTGGCCGGAATTGGTCTTCTGCTACTATCACTATGACGAGTTTGACAATGCTGCTCTTGCCGTAATTGAGCGCCCTGAGAACTCCTGGGATCACCAGCAGTTCAAGGAGATTGTTGTCAAGGTTGCCAATCTGGAAATCTACTATCGCGCTATCAAGTTTTACGTCGAGCAGCACCCCTCGCTGCTGACCGACCTCCTCGCCGCCCTGACCACCCGAGTTGATGTCAACCGCGTTGTAAAGATGTTCCAGAAGAATGATAGCCTACCGCTCATCAAGCCCTTCCTGCTGAATGTGCAGAGCCAGAACAAACGCACTGTCAATGAGGCTGTCAACGACCTGCTCATCGAGGAGGAGGACTACAAGACACTCCGCGACTCGGTCCAGAACTACGACAACTACGACGCCGTCCAGCTGGCTGCCCGTCTTGAGAAGCATGATCTCATTTTCTTCCGCCAGATTGCCGCTAATATTTACCGCAAGAACAAGCGGTGGGAGAAATCCATTGCCTTGTCAAAACAGGACAAGTTGTTCAAGGATGCCATTGAGACTGCAGCCATTTCCGCCAAGGCTGACATTGTTGAGGACCTTCTTCGCTATGTAAGTATTGCCCTCAGTGTCCTCATTCAGCAATTACTGACTGCGCCACAGTTTGTCGACATTGGTCATCGCGAGTGCTACACCGGCATGCTGTATGCCTGCAACGATCTTATCCGCCCAGATGTCGTTCTTGAGCTGTCGTGGCGCCACGGTCTCAATGACTTTACCATGCCCTACATGATCAACATGCTTTCGCAGCAGACCAAGGAGATCGCTCTGTTGAAGGCCGACAATGAGGCCCGCAAGGCCAAAGAGAAGGAGCACGAAAAGACTGAGGACAACACTCCCATCCTGGGTGCAGGTCGCCTGATGATTACTGCCGGCCCTGGCGGTCCCGCCTCGCCCGCTCCGGTCTATGGCCAAGCGAACGGTTTCGCCCCTCAGCCCACTGGCTTTGCCTCCCAGCCCACCGGTTACGGATACTAAGCGTTGCAAGTAATGTTTTCTTGCGATGCGGCCTCATGATGATTTATTATGGAGGACTGCGCCGTCTTTTTGAAGGCCTTATTATACTGTTTTCAACCTTTTTGAGGCCTGGGATCAGGTGCAGGCGTACTTGGGCAAAACTAAAAGGAAATGCACGCGGGACGAAAGCGAATCTATTTTGGAACTGCATGGCCCATGTGAAGAAGAGAGGGAGGAAAATCTACGGATATAGGAACGAAGAGCAATGGGCATTTATTGCGATTGATCTCGATGCTATGTTCTGTGCGGCTTGCGCGAATGACTTGCTTTTCATGAGGTGGGAGAAAATAGAGGAAGTGAGAGTTGAGTCGAGGTGGAAGCATTCACGAACTTGCAAGCCAGAATGGCCAATGTGTGAGTGTTGTATGTGTATGATAGTTTATTCGATTAATGCTGCTATTTGAATTTCGACTACTACCTGAAAAGAATCATGATGCCATTTGACAACGATGTGACTGCTCGCTACCTACCTGATGATGTAAATAGAGAAACGAAGAATAATACACTGTCTCATTACATAGGATGCCCCCTCTCCTGTCTATCCTGATTATTGCGTAATGATTACTCGGCCAATCTTTGCAGAGAGCGCTTGATGGGATTTGGCTTGGGGTTGGCAATCTTGAGCCATTCGCCATTGAAGGCATTGATGAGCCAATTATTGAGTTCTGTAGTTTTGGTAAGTTGTAGAAAAAAAAAATGGATGACTTGTTTAAAGGGTGGTAGGGTTGGGATTCTGTTCAAACATACTGTCATACACAATCTTGTTGGCATTATGGAAATATATGCCGTGGTTGCTGTCGGGAAAGACGTGGACGTCGTAATTTTCAACGCCTGCGACGTCGAGGTCGTCTAGCAAAGTGAGGGAATTTTGGAAATGCACATTGTCGTCGGCGGAGCCGTGCATGATGAGAAAGCGCGTAGCCTGGCCGAGGGCAGAGGCGTTGGCGATGCGGGACGCGTCGTAGCCGTCGGGGTTTTGCTGCGGGGTGCGCATGTAGCGCTCCGTGTAGATGGAGTCGTAGAAGCGCCAGTCGGTGACGGGTGCGACGGCCATGCCATAGGCAAAAGTGCGGCCGGCGTCGGCCTCGAGCGTCTTGAGCGTCTGAAAGCCGCCGTAGGACCAGCCCCAGAGGGCGAGACGGTCGGCGTCGACGTAGTCGCGGGCGGCAAAGTGGCGAGCGGTGGCAATGTGGTCCTGAGCCTCGATGACGCCGAGCTGGTCGCGGACGACGACGCGGTGCGCGCGGCCCTTGAATCCGGTGCCGCGGGGGTCCACGGTGACGACGACGTAGCCCAGGCTGGAGGCGACGTAGGACTGGAAATCGACGGCGAAGCGCTTGGTGACGGTTTGGGAGTTGGGGCCCGAGTACTGCTGGAAGAGCACGGGGTACTGTTTTTTCGGGTTAAAGTGCGGCGGGCGGCGCTCAACGTAATTGAGCGATACGTTGACGGAGATATCGATGGTGCCGTACTTGAGGACGGGTAGCTCATGCTTGCGGGCGCGGTCAGCCAGTTCGGCATTAGCCTCGAGGACGCGGCTGTACGAGGCCGCGTTGGAGGGCGTGGCGACAATCTTTTGCGTGGGAACCTTGGGGCCGCGATTGGAGAGCAGCGCGTAGCCGGCGCCAGAGGAGAAGCTTACGCTGTAATAGGCTTCTTCAGAGACGTCGGTAAACGGCTTGAGTTCGGATCCGTCAAGCTTGACCGAGTAGACGTGGCGCTGGATGGAGGATTCCTTGGTACCGGCAAAGTACACGAGGTTGTTTGCCAGATCGACAGCCGAAGGCGCGTTCTCGACCTCCCACTGGCCCGAGGTAAGGAGGACAGGCTCGCTGTTGTTGAGAGGGGTAAAGTAGCCAATGTGCTCGTAGCCCTCGTGAATGATGCCGTCAATGTAGCCGTCGTATCTGCGGCCCTTGGACCAATCGGCAGGGATATACGTCATGGTGTGTGAAATCTCAAACCAGCCACCGTCAATGTCCTTGACATTGACCGAGTTGACTACCTTGCCCTTGCGATTGGCGACGTCGATGAGCAGGACCTTGAGGAAATCGCTGACTCGGTTGGTCTCCTTTACTAGGAGCTTGTCACCAGCCCAGAGAACGTTGTTAATAATGCGGTCATCTGGAGGAAACTCGCCCTCGGTCTCTGCAGAAAAGACCTCGCCAGCATCGACATCGAATAAGAGGAGGTCAACAAACGGGTTGTGCGAGCCAGCTTTGGGGTACTTGATGTTGACAACATCAGGATACGACTCTTCGCCTTTGATAGGCGCTTTGCCGCTGGGCCGTGACTTGAAGTACTCGATGGGGTATTCAGGCACACCAGTCTCGTTGGTGCGTAAAAAGGCGAGATACTTGCCATTGGCAGACCACCAAGTTGCGCTGTTTCCGCTAAAGACCTCCTCTTCATATACCCAGTCCGGGATACCGTAAAAGTATTCAGGACCGCCGTCTTTGGTAATTTGAACAATCTGTTTACTGCCTTTGATGTGACGAATGTACATGTTGTTATCACGGGTAAAGGCAATTGCATCGCTCTGGGGGCTCCAGGTGGCGAGCTGAATGCGAACGTCATCTTCAAAAGGGATCAACGGCTCTACAGCCTGAGTTTCCACATCCAAGATGTAGTACACGGCAGTGTATGAATGTCGCCAATTCTTTTCCTTGTAGACAACAAGCAGGACGCTTTTTAGATCTGGGCTCGGCATGAGGGTAGTGGGATGATGCTGCCGGCCGTCATGCGTAAAGGAAGATGACTTCATGAGGATTTTGGTACTGACAGCATCTGCCGCAGCATCGGGTGTGTCTTGGCTGTTGCGAACATCTTCGACAACCAAGAAGCCTTGATCACTGGTGCCTTGCTCGAGAAGCAGACCGTCTTGGCCATCCGGGCTCGCAATCCAGCTGATGGACTGGTAGCTTGGGGCCCAAAATCCAGACTGGACCTGGTCGAGGGTGACGGGCTTGCCAGAGCCTCGCGTGTCGGCATCGGGGTCGTGTTCGGTATCGCTGGCATGTGTATGGCCGCCAGTGAAGAGAAAGAGGCCAAGGCCAAGGCCCCAGAATGCGATGAGAACAGCAAATGTGATGAAGAGCACACGCTTCAAGTTGCGGTCCATGGGTATTTGTTTGCCGATACCGGCGCCGGCGCCGGACTGAGGCAGGAAGGGGCCGCTCTCCAGGTCATTATTTTGGTCCTCATCATCGTCGCGAAAGGGGCTGAATTTAATTTCGGTGTCGCGGTGGCTCGTCTTCCGGTCGGAGGGCTTTTTCTCCACCTCTTCTTGTAAGCGGTCGAATACAAGGCTGGTTGTGGAAGCGGAAGAGAGCGACGCTCGCGATGACGACTCTGGCTGACCGTCGTCGCCATCCGCGTCGGGGCGGTGGGCTTGCAGAGAAGCCATGGCTTGGTGAGGCAGGTCGCGGGGGCCCGTGATGATCTATGCCAATTGGTCGGAAGTTGAGTAGAGAGGAAGAAGAGTTGGTGGCCAGCGGGCGAAATCAGAATCACAGCATCGCTAGGTGTCGAATGGCAAGTACGTTTGCCGTGGGTATCGGAGGCCAAGACGACGATATTGAAGGTGACGAATGCGAGACTGGCATGCAGGAGTGAAGTGAGGTAGGGAGGCTCAGCTGTTCTAGGTACTTGCAGCTCCGGTGACGATGGGCGGACGTTGAAGGGGGGGGGGGCACCGGGGGGGTCAGTGAATTAGTGGGACGTTTGTCCCGGAGGCTGTACAGAGTACCGACTACCGAGATGTTTAAATACTTTAGTAGGCAAACACGCAAGTTGAGGTGTATCGATTTTTGGCACAGCGTTATAGCGAGACTTGATTAAAATTGCGTCGGGCGGAGAAGTGACTAGGAAACCCGTTTTCAAAATCAATATGCCAACGGGGCATTGCTGGTGAGAAATTGCAGAATGACTCGAGTAAGTAAATAATTCATACGATTGCACGGGCACGACAATACTCGGCCATGGCCGTGCGTCAAGTTCTGGCCTCAATAAACATGTTTCTCGGGCACCATATGCTTTCAAGAAAAACTCTCTTTTCATATTTCGCATTCATTTAGCACCTTACAAAATGATTCAAATTGTCCTCGGATCCTGCCCGCCACCTATTCTCGTCACATTCCCATCGCTGCGCCGACTGACGCTAGCTACCTAACTACATCAGACGACCGCTGAGACAGCTGCATGAGTCCGAGCAACCGGGACCGGCTTGGCCAACAAACACTATCGTGACAGTATGTGGTACGATCTCATTCCAATGGCCGGTGGCCCGATGACTATATCATGTGGTTTTGCGTCGCTGGCATGGTGCTGCACTTGTTCTTATTTGGTGACAACTAGGTAGCAACCAACATCTATACAGCACTTGCGCAGGTTGCAGAAACCGACATGCCCTGAACTAAATCATCGTTATCGGCGATTAGGCGGCTAATTCTCTTTCTTGCCTATTTTCTTCACCATCTTTACTTTTGCTCATTTCTTTTTTGTCACTTGTTTTCTCCCTCTATGAATAATCTCCCTTGTAGACTCCTCCTTTTTCCCTACCTATTCGCCGACTTGGCAATAGTACAATGACTTGCTCACTAAGTTGGTAACAGACAGCCACCCTAAATATTGATACGCCTCCGCCTTGGCACATATTCGAGACCTATGTAGAGTTTGATCCGGAAGTCCATCTCGAGTTGTACCTTTAAGCTTCAGCCAGTGTCGCTGAGCTGACGCTTGCAAACCCAGGTACCAGAACCAACGTGGTAAGGTTTTGGCGAGTCCGTCTCTATTGCATTTTCAGTAGATACCGTCTCTAGTCAATTTTCGGCAAAAAAAAAATGTATTATCAATTGAGCAACGATAACGATTTTGTCCAACGTTGCGCATACCAGACCACGGGGCACTCTAGGTGGGCACAAGTAGTCAAAGGAAGCTCCCTCTAGCAGTTCTCCACACCAGTTAGGGACAGCTTCTTCCTTCATCTTCACACGTCACTCTTTTCTGCGACTTATTCCGTTTTCTTCTTCTCTTCCGTGCCATTTCACTCTGCACGGCAAAAGCAGTTCCGCATGTCGATTCCTTTTTGAATCTATAACCTTAATCAAGGCCAAGCAACCATGGCCATGGCCAGCCCTGCCTCGCACAAGCCCAGGCGCAAGGGCAAGACAAACGGCGTCGACCTCGACGTCCGCCCACGCGCCGAAGCTCCCTCCAAAGCGCCATTGTTCCCGCTGGCCGGGTTTCTCTGGCCGCTACGCACAGCCTCTTCGCAATGGACCGTTTTACCTCTTGTTCTCATGGTCGCCGGACTGTTTCGCTGGGCAGCAGGACTCTGGGGCTACTCTGGTGCGTTTCCTTCGTCGTGTCAAACAGCCAAGCTAACCAGCTCTCTTCTGTTTCCTCACTATAGGCTTCGAGCGACCCCCAATGTTTGGCGACTACGAGGCGCAACGACACTGGATGGAAATCACCACGCATTTGCCCATCTCCCAATGGTACTTTCACGACCTCGAGTGGTGGGGGCTAGACTACCCGCCCCTGACGGCCTATCACAGCTGGCTTCTCGGCAAGATTGGCGCATTGTTCGACCCGGCCTGGTTTGCGCTCTTCACATCGCGCGGATCCCATGATGCCAATCTGAAAGTCTTCATGCGCGCGACCGTCATCGTATCCGAGTACCTGACCTACATCCCCGCCGTCGTCGTCTTTGTCCGCCGCTTCAGCAGACTGAGCGGCGTGCCGGCCTGGGCCAGCAATGTCGCCCTCGTTGCCATTTTGATGCAGCCTGGAACTATCCTCGTCGACCACATTCACTTTCAGTACAATACAGTCATGCTGGGACTCGTGCTTGCCAGCATGTCGAGCCTCCTCGCCGAGCGCTACAGATGGGCCGCCGTCTTCTTTGTTGGCGCTCTAGGTTTCAAACAGATGGCGCTTTACTACGCTTTCAGTGTCTTTGCCTACCTTCTCGGACGTTGCATCAAGCCTAGTATCAGCATTGGCCGGCTTGTTGGAATCGCCCTGGTAACGCTCATCTCTTTTGCTGTCTTGGTGCTCCCCATCGTCGCCGGTGCTCTCTATGACGCCCGCCGGGGCATCTCCTCGCGACCCGAGCTTGGAGGACCTCCGCCGCCGTTGCCGATTTTTTCATTCCTCTCGAATCATCTCGACACCGAAGCCTTTTATTACCCCGTGGTGGAGCAACTCGTACAATTAGTGCACCGTGTGTTTCCATTTGCTCGTGGCCTCTTTGAGGACAAGGTTGCCAACTTTTGGTGCGCTGCCAACGTCGTCATCAAGCTGAGAAAATACCCCAGTGATCTGCTGCAAAAGGCTTCCCTCGCTTTTACGCTGCTTGCCGTCATCCCACCAAACCTGATACTCTTCATCAAGCCGCTGAAAGCTACTATGCCGCTAGCCTTTGCCACCACAGCTTGGGGGTTCTTCCTCTTCAGCTACCAAGTTCACGAAAAGAGTGTTCTTCTTCCCTTGATGCCCATGACGATGCTTCTAGCGGGCAAGCAAGGCCTCAATGGTAGTGTGCGCTCCTGGGTCGGGTTCGCCAACATTCTCGGCGCTTGGACCATGTTCCCTCTGCTGCAACGTGTTGACCTGGCCGTTCCTTACGCAGTGCTTACCCTTCTTTGGGCATATCTGCTTGGTCTTCCCCCTGTTTCCTGGACCGCGCCGCTGCAAGACACTCACACCAAGCCTCTGGTGCAGTACGCAACGCTGGCTCTGCATTCCGGCTTCTACGTGCTCATGGCCGCTTGGCATATTGCGCAGGCGATTTTGCCGCCACCGCCGAGCAAGCCCGATCTGTGGATCGTGGCTAATGTTGGCATCGGCGCCGCTGGCTTCATGATCTGCTATGTTTGGTGCTTCTGGAGACTCATTGTTGAGAGCGACTTACTACCGAATGCTTCCAAGACGAGCAAAGCCAAAAAGATACAATGAAGAAATACGAAAGGCGGGTGGTCAGATACGAGCTGGATCAAGAATTGAAACATGTTTAATCCCTTGGCTTTTGAACGGGTCCTCGACTTTCTTGAAAAATTACTGAATCTGGACAGGCTCGCTAGTAGCGTCAAAGAAAGCAAGACCACCACGGGAGGAAAGCATGTAGCTTTGGTCAATTGCGTAGACTTTCCCGTTGAGGAAGAGGCATTTCTACCATGATGCCCAACCAAGCCTCGGACTCCCGACATCCTTACGAACCGGACCAAGGGCCAGGCCACCACACGAATGGAGCTATGTTACTCGAACATCAGGGCCAGATGAGATGGTACGAATGCATTCTATATTTTCACACCAGTTACCTACTTCTCCCTGTTGTCTCCTCCATGTAGATACGAAATCAGCGGTCATACCCCCGGAATTTGTTTGCTTTTTCGCGAGCGGGCGCACCCTAGGTCTCAACGCCTCAGATGGGCAGAAACGACATAGTTGCTGCGTGACCAGGGCATGAAGCACGATCGGCAAGCATCTTTCTGCAGAGCATTGCAAATCGTATATCCCACCTATGTCAAACGCAAGATCGCTGACGCCACTCCTTTGTCGTCGCGCTCCCGATTGACCTGGACGTCCAGGCCCAAGCGTGTGTGACCCAACTAATAAGCAGGCAGAATTGTTTGCTTTCTTTGACCATGGCTTGGCCGCCAAGCGGAGAAAAAGCTTGTATTTGGCCGCTTTTTTTAGTCCCTTTTTGAGTCGATGTCTTTCTTTCTGTATTCTTTTTGGGCAGCCGAATCTCATCCTCTCATTCCCGTCTACCCGCGTTACTTGACGAACCAGTCCGACTCACCCTTGTACGACGGCATACATGCACCCGCACCACCTGTGATGCCCTCGGCCGCCAAGACATGACGGACACAGCCAGCGTGAGTGACGACTTGTTTACCCAGGGGTTCTATTTGCTAGACATGGGGAAAGATGCTCCAACGACTTTGTTAAAACTGTTGTACCATCTAGGAGACGACGGCCGCCGTCAGCCCAGCGCAAATTGCGGCGCTCTGTGTAAGCATATTCGCCATTATCGTGTTCACCAGCATCAGCATCTACCTCTACGGGCGACGAAAGGGCTCTGAGGAGGTACACAGCCTCTCGCACAACCACCACCACTACCCTCCGCACATTACCCGCATACCGGACACGCGGCCCCGGGATTCGACAACCAGCGGTCAAGGCAGCGCTACCCGTGGCGGGCGCTTCACCAAACTGAAGGAGGCGTTTGGTATCAAAGTCGCTGCCGCGGCTGAGGCTGTAGTTGCTACCAGGGGGGCGTCGTCGTCGGCGGCGGCAGAAACGGAAGCGTTTGGCAAAGCAGCGAGGATGCGAGCCGCGTCGCCGCTGCAAATAGGCATCCCCCCCGGCACCGGTAACCCATACAGCGGCACTGAAGAGTTTCAGGCGGCCGTCCACAATCTCCTGAGCTACCGGCCGGGCGAGTTACAAGTCTGCTATCAGTAAGTTGACAAGAGAAGACGCAAGGAAGAAGAGAACAAGGCGAGGCTGGTGCGGTCTGCCCACTGCTAACCTGCTCTGACGCAGTGAGTCTGATGATGACGATGATAATGATTACGAGGACACGCATAGAGGATCACAGCCGGAGCACCGAGAAGGGTCCTATTCGGCAGCCGATCCCTGTGGTTCACCACTGCCCGCGTATGCAGAAGTAGCAGAGCCGCGCCGGTTTTCCTGGCAAGGTCAAGAATGCGACTATCGGCCAGAAAAGCGTTAAAAGTGCGCAACACGCGACTTGGAAACTCTGGAACCTCTTAGCTCTCGTAACCTATACTTTAATGATTAGACAATGGCATCATGCTTGAAGTACCACCCATGTAGTCGACGACGACACATCACAAGTCTCACGGTGACCAGCAGCAGCAGCAGCAGCAGCAGCAGCAGCAACGCTCCGAAAAATTGATTCTGATTCATCGTAAATCTCGAGGCCAAACAACTCCAACTATCGCACCAAGGCGAGTCCAAGACGTAAACCCCAAGTGTGCACATTGGTCCCCATTTTCCATACCAATGCCGTTTCTGTTGCACAATACCCGAAAAACCATGAAATCGCTTTTTTCCGGTGGAAAAAAAAAGAGAAGAGGCCAGCTTTGTTCCGTCTTCTTCTTTTATTTTCCTTGTCGTCGTTACCGTAACAGTCGTGAGCGGACCGCTTAGTCGAACAGACCGAAACCCATGTCCTCGTCGGACTCTTCCTTCTCCTCCTCCTTCTCCTCGGCAGCGGGAGCGTCGGCAGCACCGCCGGCAGCGGCGGCACCGCCAGCGGCAGCAGCGCCACCAGCACCACCAGAGGGGACGGAGGCGAGCTTGCTGGAGCCCTCGGCGATCAGCTGCAAAAAAAAAAGGTTACATGTCAGCATTCTGTTCTCGTTTTCCTGTATATACAGTCAGGGTACTCTGTGGAGAGCGAGTTCTTTCCTGCGGGAGTGACGATTCCTTGTCGTCGCCAGCTGCCGCGCAGAAAAGACCTTTACTCGTCGACAAGCCCCCCCCCAATGACCGATTGTATATCCGTACCTCGTTGATGTCCTTGTCCTTGAGCTCGGAGAGGAGGGTCTTGACGCGCTCCTCATCGGCCTCAATGCCGACGGCAGAGAGGACGCCGGTGATGTCCTTGGCGGAGGGGGACTCGTTACCGCCGAGGGTAAGAAGAAGGTAAGCGGCGAGGTGCTTCATTTTGAATTTGTTCTGTGTAAAATAGATGTTGGTTAGCCGACCTGCAGCCTGGTATTTTTTGCGCTTTCGGCGGCCAAATCTTTCCAGGTGTTCTTCCATGCCAGCATTCTGAACGGCGGGGTGGCAGGCATGTATATACACTCGAAATTCAAGTTCATGGCGCAAAAGCATTGGAGGCGACGGCGCGACTCACTGTTGAGAGTTCGAAAAGGAACACGAGAAATCAATCACTTTAACCGCGGGTATTGAGGCGGAGACTGAAACCTTCGGGTTCAAAATTGATGCAATGGGATTGAGAGTAGGATCAAGAGAAAAAAAAGGTTCTGAATGGGCGGGTCACGAGAAAGTAGACACACAGAAAAGCCCCAAATGGTGGAGGCCCTCACACAATTCTTTTCCAGTTTGTGGGCGAACGGGTTTCTCCTAGGCGAGCCACTCAGGTTAGGGCGCAGGCAGGGAGTGGGGGCTTTGATACAAGTACGCACCAGCCACACCTGCATCCGCCGCCACCGATATGACATGCATCACGTGCCTCATCTCGAATGTGGCGCATACTTCTATTTTTTTCTTTTACAACATTACGCCTGCCTTGGACTGGTTAGGCTTTCTGGCTAGCCAATACCGGGGACGACAAGTTGACAGCTGCTCACATCATACCGTCTATCTTCTTTGTGCCCTTTTCTTTTTCCCGCGCCACCACTCTCTTTGATTCAAGAAGCTGTGAATCATTTTATCAACGGCTCGTCACACCGCCGCTTGTGCATATTTCCAACATCTTTCATTGGTCTTCTTGTACCGCACGCGGGAAACTGTGGTTCCGTACCACGGCTAAATACAAGTGCTGCCTCGGCGCGCCAGGTCGAAGCTGACCCCAAATTTGCGAGGATCGTTTGCCTTGGTTTTTTTGGGTCCCGAGGCTTTTGACTGAGCGCTGAGCAGCCGGCAGAATCTTGTACTGAAAACAGAAACACAAAACACGCACCCCATTTCGACGACATCTTCATACCCGTGGCAAGCGTGACCAAACGACACTTTCACGATGCCTGTGAGTCAGAGCGCCTGCCAGACGCGAGCAGTTTGCAGTATCTCTCCGCGACACAGCTCACTCACTAACCATGACTACATCCAGATCGGTGATTTGTTAGCCTCGATCAGCGGAGGGGCGGACAAGACCTCAACGACTGTTCGCCCGAATTCCGCCGCGAATATCAAGCGAAAGGCCAGCGCTGAGCTCTCCAGCAATCTCAACAAGGCCCCGCGCGTCACGCCGCCGGCGCCGGCACCGGTGCCAAAGCCAACCCAGGCCTCGTCCGCTGCGCAGCGCTACGCCGGAACAGCGGCCGATCGACCGTCGAGACCGACACCGAGCAAGCCCAGACCCGCGCCGCCCGCGTCCTCGTCCTCGTCCGCCAACGCCGCCGCCGCCGCCGCTCCCGCGAAGGCAGCACCGAAAAAGGGCTCGTTTGCCGAGATTCTCGCCCGCGGCAAGGCGGCGCAGGCGTCAATGGGGCAGGTCGGCAAGATTCAGCACAAAAAGGTTGAGAACCCCCCGCGGCGGTCCAAGGAGGACGCTGCCGCCTCGGGACCATTGACGGCAGCCGCGAGAGGGAAGAAACCGGTCGCGGCTCCCGGTTACGGTGGCACATCACGGCCTTCGCAGCGTCCTGCGGGTAGCGGTATCTCGAACGGTGGCAGCAGCGGCGCCAGACGACCCGGCGCCGGGTCCTCCTCGTCCCTGTCCAGGCAGCGGCCACCAACATCCTCGTCAGGCGCCGCCCGTAAGCCTGCTGCCGCTGCTGAACCCGAGAAGAAGATTAAAAAGGCCGCCACGGCGACGACCGGCTACGCGGGCACCGCGCGGCCCAAACTCAGCACCAGCGACTCCAAGAAGCGGCACCACGACGTTCCGCGCGGCGGCGCTCTTCTCAGCGCGCCCAAGGTCCGGCCTCGCGGCGGCAGCAAGTACGATGACGAATTCGACGAGGACATGGACGACTTCATTGACTACGACGAGGAGGAGGAAGACGAGGGCGGCGAGCCTCGCTACGGGTACGCATCCGACGCCTCGTCCGACATGGAGGCCGGCATGGACGACATTTACGACGAGGAGGACCGCGCCGCGCGCATCGCCCGACTGGAGGACGTTCGCGAGGAGAAGCTGGAAAAGCGCCTCAAGGCCGCCAAGGAGGAGCGTCGCCGCAGAGCCCTCGGTGGCTACCGGTGAAACTTGCTTTTTTCTTCTTTTTCTCTACTCCGCTGCTCTTTTTTGATGCGTTGTCTTGCTAGGTGACGGATACGCAAAGAGGTGATGTGGTGGGCGAGCGCCGACACAGTGTGGGAGAAACGAGGCAGGCAGGCTGGGAATATACCATGGCGTTATCGGGGATGCTTTTCTTGTTTAGAAAGCTTTTATTCCCACACTCTCTGCTCTCTCTTTTTCAATTTGTTCAAGAACCTAAGAGGGGGTAAGATGGACGGGTTTTGGCGAGCATACTTTGTTATATAAACATTTAGCGATGGAGTTTTATATTTATCCTTTTCGATGCCGCTTTGTACACTGTGCTGCTGTCCAAGTAACACGAGCCCTCTTACACGTGGGCACAACATCAAGTCAAGTAGTGGTATATTAAAAGTCGTGGTTAGCTGTGTTACAATGGTAGTAATCGGGAAATTGCTCCACTCTACATTCTGCTTTAGACAAATGTCCAATCTAGGTTGGTCGCTCCCACGTGTTTAGTACATGATGCTTCAACGCGCCCGTACTCACGGCGCAACGTTGCCTTTGCCGCTCGAGCCATAGGGTTGAAGGAGCCATCCCTCGTAGTGTTTGGTAGTGTCTGAGTCGTCACTTTCAACCTCCATCTTGTCGTTTGAGTGACTCTGTGCCGTGCTCACATCAGGCTCAACCTTCACGGTTACCTGCGGTGGCGATGTCGGGGGCGGTAGTAGCTGATATGGAGAAGTGGATGAAACGACAAGTGGTGGGCCAGGATCTTTATCAGCTGAAGTGGCCTCTTTTTTAACCTCTGTGTCGTTTTCGGCGCTGCTTTCCTTGCTCCCGTTTAACGCGGCCGCACTCGCAGCGATTGCGTCTGGCATGATGCCCTTTTGACGGAGGTACTGGATAGACCGCAAAACCGTTAAATCTTCTTGCTCCTTGTCATTCAAGATTAAGCGCTGCTGAATGGTCAAACGGCCATGGTTGGCCTCGCGTTCTTTGATGGCAGCCTCGCGGATCGCAGGGTCATGCACGAAGCGGCACTTGCCCTTCTTACCGCAAGTACCACCTGTAGAATAGTATTTGCAGTGTCTAGTAACATCTGCTCTCTTTCCGATAGCAGGAGGAAGTGGCCGACTGGGTATAGTTGTAGACGACGCCTTGGTTGATAGAGCTTCAGGGGGGCCATCGTCGGACGAGTTATCCGAGGCGCCACGCATCTCATCACCTTCGTCGCCCTGCTCTCGCTTTCGCTTGATAGACGATTCTACTTTGCGTAGCTGCTTACGCAGCTTGTCTGCTTCCCTTTCGAGTGACGCAGTCTTGTCCTCGTTTCTTTGCGCTTGCGCGGCAGCCTTTTTGGCCTCGATACGAGCTCTCGTGGGGTAGTTCTGTCGACGCACTGCTAAAAAGGCAGCAACGTCACCGATATTACTAAAGCTGAGGTTAGAATTGAAAATGAGTCGAAATGCGCAGTGCTTTCGCAAACCTTAATGCCTCCTGTCCTAGCAGCTCACTGAGCGTCTTTTCCTCCCCCTCGTCATCCTCAGATTCCTCCCCCGTGCCAGGCGTCAAGCCAAGTGTATTGGTCTTGCGCTTCTTCTTCTTTCCATGAGAGGCGGAATCGTTGTTGTGCTGGACGGGATTTTGATTCGGTTTATTATGGTGCCTGTCGTTGTGGTGGCCACCCCGACCACGGTTGCCGCCATCTCGGTGACCTCCGCGACCGCGACGTGGGTACTGCCCATGTTGCGAGTCTTTGTGGTGGGTGACAGACGGCGGTGTTGGAGGAGGCCCTCCGTAGGGAAAGTGTTGAGGAGGGTGATGAGCGCGTGGACTAGGCTGGTAGGGCTGTGCATAGCCACTGCCGTTTGGGGGTCTGGCTGGACCCCTTGGGCCCTTGTCATGATAACCGCCACGTGCTGGCCGGCCACCAAGATGATGCGTTTGTGCCGATCCATTCCACTGAGATGGAATCGGCGGCGGCGGCGCGCCATAGGGATAGTGTTGAGGCGGTGTATATGGAACCTGCTGCTGTGGTTGAGTGTAATGCACCGGAGGGTAGCTTTGAGGCGGATATGCAGAGTATGAAGCGGCTGGCATTGGCGCCGGCGCATGCGCATGATGGCCGACGTGCTCGTGTCCCCATTGGGGAGGAGGGGGAGGTTGATGCGGATAGCTGGCAGCAGGCGTCGGGGGATAGCTCGTGGCACCAAGAGGGTGATGCGCATATGGCTGGGGCGGATAATCGTACCGCGGCTGGGAAGCATGGTGCTCATGTCGCTGCCCGTTGTGATGCCCCTGTCCTCCACGACCACGGCCATGGGGGCCTCCACGCCGCTGGGAGCTTGATCCTCGACTATAGCCTCCTGAAGAGCTTGATGTAGGGGGCGGGGGCGGCGGTGGTGGCCCGTACCCGTATCCCGACATGATGGAAAGGAGATGGGCGAGATGAAAAAGGCGTGTATAGGGAGAGCTCCAAGATGAGAGTAAACGCGCGTTCGCTAAAATTCAACTGCAGAGACGAGAAGGACTTGCTGCGCAACAACTGTCTGTGGAAATGCTTGTTCAAAAAGAGAAGAAGTGAGAGAGCACACGCAAACAGCAGGTGACGGCGGAAAGGACGAAGAAACAGAGGCGTAATCAAACTGACAAGCGACAACCTATTATCGGCTTAAGCTTGCTTTACCTTGACAGTCCGATGCGAGAGCGTACACAGCGGAGTGCGCAGCTGGGATTCAGAAAGTGCGGTCTGTTTTGTTCTTATCTGAAGCAGAAAAGCATCTTCAGCCTCGTAAAGGAGCTTCCCAAGATAGTTTGGGGAGGCGCCGCCTTATTTTTCTGCCGATTGTAACATGTTCTGGCTAGTGGACCGGGATAAATGGCACTCGAAGCGGCAGGCGGTCAGCACAGCAAAGCCACAGTGAGGCTTGACAGCTAAGCCCGATTGGATGCATCCTGTGGCTCTGTTCTATGCGCAAGCTTTCTGATTTTCTAAGCCATGAGAGGTAGTCTCGCGCGCCTGGAGCTGAGCGTCACCAAAGCAAGACCTCATTCATCTCAACGAGTCGCTTCAGGCTAGTTAGCCTCTTATTCTGTTTGCTTACTGCTGGGGAATGGGCAGTGGTCCTAACCGGTACCGGATATTGAATTTCTCTCTCGCGGATCGCGGCCGCGACGAGCCTCGCCATGTTCATTCTTGTACGTCAGACTTGATTGAAGTCAAGGCGCTAATCATTAACTGATGTACTGTAATAGACGAAAATTTCTGATCTCGTGCAGATTGCGCCAGAAGATTTTTCTAAACGCAGTATCATCGCCATTGAAGACAACATCAACGCCAAATACGCCAATAAGGTGAGCCGGTCCTTGCCCGTTAACTCGGGGCGCACTGACTGACTTTAGATGGTGACAGGTTATTCAAAAAATCGGCTTATGTATATGCCTTTATGATATTCTCTGGACGTCAGAGGGACTCATCGGCCATGGAACCGGACTGGTCAACGTAAATGGTAGTACATCTCCAAAACTTGATTCCTGGCTTCAGACATGGGCTAATATATTCAAGTCGAGTTCCGCATGATTGTCTTTCGCCCATTCAAAGGCGAGGTCATCATTGGCCGTATACGCAGCTCCACACCCGCCGGCATCAACGTACGGACAGATTTCTTCGACGACATCTTTGTACCGTTCGAAGAGCTACCTGCTGGTGCTGAATAGTAAGAAGCTCAACTGCCACGTCCTTGCAGCAGGCATCGCTGACCTTTTTGCGCAGTAATCACTCTGAACAGCTTTGGATATGGAACATTGACGAGGAAGAGAGGCTCTTTTATGATACCCACGAGATGGTGCGTCTGCAGGTCGTTGACGAGGAGTGGCATGACCAGACCCCTATTGGCCCTACGCAAGCCGAAGATTCGCCCATCAAGACACCCTACCGCATCAAGGGTAGCATGTTTAAAGAAGGTCTCGGCGTCTGTTTGTGGTGGGATAGCGCATAGTCGCAATGTTGAAAAGCATGGTTTGGGTCGATTTTTTTGGTTTGGGAACATTCATGGGACGGCGTATATCTTGTACACATTCATCTATCATCTGATTTTATACTATTTGAGTGGAATTTAGACGCCGCTAGAAACGGGCTAGCAGGCGATCCTCAACCTCGTCCAGAACGGAGTAGTGCTCGACAACTTGCAGGTTCTCGGCTTCAGCCTTGAACTGCTTGTCAATGTCGACACCAGGTCCACCCGTGGGGTTCATAGGCATCTGCTGCGCCTGCATCTGCTGAGCGAGCTGGCTGGCGGCTGTAGAAAGACGTCAGTATTTCGCTCTGTATGTGTTGCTGCAGCCCAGGAATGTACTCACCATTGTCGCTACCGAGAAGAAAGACGTAGACAAATTGGAGGCCAAAGATGCACAAAAAGTACCAACTGATACTCGACATCCACCGAGGGTCCATGTCCTTGGTCTGCACGCCCGCCTGAAGCATGCTCTTGAACTTGATGGTAATGGGAAACGGCAATTTCACTACATCCAGGTCAGCAACGCCCTACGTTTCCCCTTGCATCGTCCAAGCTGTTAGACACATACTGATGACGTAGCCGCTAAAAAAGGCGTTAATCCAGCTCATAATGAGCGTGTTGGGGATGATCATGGCCATGTTGTTCTTCATCATGCCCATCATTCCGTCCATGGCGCCGGGGTCGCTGAGCGGGTTGCCAGGGGGTTTGCCCTTGCTGTCCGGGTCCTTGAGGAACTCGCCCGATTCGAAGCCGGCGGTGAGGGCCTCGCGACGAGCTTCGAATGCGCGCCGCGACAGCACGTGGTGGTTCGCGCGGAGGGTGACACCGCGCGCCAGGGCCCGCTGCTCGCGGAGAGCCTTGGCGTCGAGTTTCTTGGGCACCGGCGCCATGAGCACCGACGCGTAGTGGCGGAGGACGCCCGTGAGCACCATGACGACGGAGATGGGGATCAGGATCCAGTAGCTATATGGCGCCGGTTAGCAGCTGGTAACCCGCCGCTCTGCAAAGGGGAGGGCGGAAAGATGGCGAAGCCATTCTCGCAACATACAACAACTGGGGATCCCGGTAGAGGGTCTGCACGGGAACCTGCGCCATGATGGAGCGAATTGGTGTGTCGGTCCGCAGGGGGGGGCGTGGAAGATATGGTTTTCGAGGGCCGTGACGGCGCAGGATGCTTGTCAGCGGTTGTCGAGAGGTTGATGGGATGGGAAGAGCTGGCGCGCCGCCCGCCTTGTCCGGAGCTACTATTCTGCCGCCTGCCGCTAGCTCGAAGCTGGCTGACAGCGGCAACTTTCCCAACCGCTACAGGCAGGCTGAGGCGCTAGAAGACCGCTGCGAGTCTACCGACAGCTCCAAGAAGCAGTGGTAGTCTCCACTTTCTGGCATTGGTGGTCGGCCGCTGGGGACAGCTATCCTTTCCCCACGAAACGACAACTTATATACAAGCCACCTCGACCATCAAGCGCAACGACGAATCCGACCAATCTCTCTCCTCCTATCCTGATTTTCACGACCGCGACGCCCCTACTATACAGCCACAATGGCGACCGAAAAGGTTTCGCTCTACAACCTTGCTGGTAGGGTCTCCCCCTCCACGGCCCCAACCTTAGGGAACCGCCTCCCCCGTCTATGGTTATAATGCTAAACGCGCCTCCCGATAGATTTAAAGAACACCTCGGACGACGCGATCCCCAACTACCTCAACTCGCTCAAGTTCACGCAGACCCATGTCCTCCAGGATGTACGCCTCGTGCTCGGCTACAGCGCCTTTTCCGTCGCTGCGCTCTGCTTCCTCTGGGACTACAAGCTCGGCTGGGACAGCACCAAGCACTACACCGCGGCCGCCGTCGTCGTCTACATGCTCCTCAACGCAGCTCTGACGTACTGGACGACTTTTCGGGAAAAGAGCGTCATATATCAAGGCACAGCGCCGTCCGGCGACAAGGTAATTAATTTGGGCATGCCCTCTTCTCCCTCCCCCAAGGTGCCCCTCTGCTAATTACAAGCCCTTTCGTCGTGCAAAAAAAAGATTACCATTTCAACGACGACGAAAAAAAATGTCCCCGTCTACAACCTGGAAATCACCGTGCAGCCGAAACGAGCCGGCGAAAAGACGCAGACGTATAGCCTCGCCAAGGAATTCGCCGGCTGGTTCGACGAGGTCGGCTTCTTCGTCGCCGCGCCGTTTCAGGAGATGCTCGCGTCGGCCGTGCCGCTGATTGGCAAGCAGGATCCCAAGCGCGTCACGGCATCGCGGGAGACGCTCGACGCCAACCCGGATCTTCTTGATGCCGTTTTGGCGGCGTCGGCCACAGAGGCCAAGGGCGAGGCGCGGAAGCGCAAGGCGTAGTAGTAGCCAGGGCGGTTTCGCATGGTGGTTTTGCGTCTCGCAAGGACGAAAAGGAGAGATTGCAGCGGCCTCGCTTCCTGCATTACCGGGCACAATTCCTCATTCAGTGGAAAACATGGGTGGTCGAGGTGGTGGTGTATCAGCGCATAGTTGCTTCACGTTCTATATACACGCGATGGTCAAAAGAAGACAAACGCAATATTTTCTCGAATACCGGCAAAGCGCAAAACATGTTTGCAAAAAGTCAAAACAACAAAATGGTATTCCCACCTATCTGCACATGATTGAAAAGCGGCATATGAGTGCTATGCGTGGATGATAACGGCACAAAGAACAACTATTTCAGACTTGCGCCTGCCTGCCATCCCTCACTACCACCCTTCCACAAGGAATTCATGTTAATAAGTGCTAGCCGAGTTAAAAAAAAATCGTCAAATTGTGAATTGAGAACTCCTGCCCCTCTTGAATTCACCGCATAATTAGCCGCCCACTGCACTGCTAGTCATGCGATGGAAGCGCGTTTCCTTCTCCATTTCCATTATCAATGCTCACATCCTACTTGACTTCTGCCCATGCAACACGTGCTGCACGAGCAGACACACGAACTTCGCGGACTCTGTGGCCGCACGCTGCGGCAAGAACCCTTCCCACCTGCGGCACATAAGCCAAAAGATAGCGAGACTCGACTAGTCGAGGTAGGCCACCCAGGATTTGAAGCCCGCTCTTGCTACAGCGAGCCAACGTCTCTGGATCACGCGATGGCGCGGCAATGTAGTCCGGCACCCAGTCAGGTTTTGGCTTGGGCTCCTCATCCACAGCAAAGGTGCTCGTGCAGATACCAATGATGCTGCGGATATGGTCCTGCGACTTCTCAGGCGCCTCTGTCAGAACCGTTTTGAGCACAGCGAGAGCGGCCAGTGTATCGGTGCCGATACCAGCAGTTTGGGCGACCGAGATAGCAACGCGTAGTACCTTTTCCACGTCGTCCTCGTATATCGAGTAGGGCATGTGCTTCACGAGCATCAGCACACCCAAGCCAAAGCTAGCCTTGGCGAGGTTGTCGTGAGGAACTTGGCCCGTGGACAGGGCGGACTGCAGCATGTGTTGTACCATTTGGACGTATAGCTTCTGCATCCATAGCGGTTTAACGACTGCGTAGGCATCCTTGGATAGAAAGCTCTGCGGAGCGGCAATGAGCTCAAGGAGGCGCGCTATGTTATAACCAATTACTTTGTTCTTGGGGCTGTCACGGATAAGCTCAACCAAACGCTGTGTCTGCTTTCCGTTGTATCGACGCAACAGGCCAGCAGCAATAGCAAGAATTGGAATAGCCTTGTCGATGGATGACTCTGCAGAGTTCAGGAGTGCATTAGCCAACTGTGTGTTGATAGCATCTAAAACCGGTTCGGCCGTCTCCAGCGTGTATTTGTTGGCAAGTATGCTCAGGATAGACTTGGATACGGCAGTTGCGGTCGCGCTGTTATCTCTTTCTGTGTTCGAGATGACGGCAACAAGCATTTGTTGCCCAACATCGCCATCAAACTATACATGGTTAGCATCAGTTCTGAAATAGCCAAAATTGGTCTACTCACCAGCTTGGCTACCCGGGCCGGGTGCAACGCCTCCACGATCCCGAATGTCAACGAATTGACGCGGCCATTGACAAGCCACCTCCACGAGCTCGGTGTTGTTGCGTAACCATCTTGGAATAAGTTGATAGCCCATGTCTCAGCAGCCAGCGCCGCTTGTTGTGTCTCGGTGAACTTGTGCGTAACGAAGCTCGCGAGGCTGGATATCAGATACAAGTATTGAGATGCAGAAAGCTGATCGTCGCGAGGAAAGTCATCGCTCAGCACTATGCTCTCGTTGCCGATGTTGCCTATGGTATGGGCTGCCTTGCGATACAGCGTTCTAACAATGAATAACGTTATCAAAAGAAATTCGCCGTATATATCCGCCATGGACTTGACAGTGCTCGACCTCAGCATATCCACTTCGTGACTGGCATGGGGGTTGCCCACGCTCTTGAGTTCAGGGTACAGGTTCGTGATGTCACTCAGCCACGTGGTTGACACGTGGAGCTTATTGCGATCTAAGTCTTGCTCAAAGCAGGCATCGTTGAAGTAGCGGCAGGCTGACTGAATACCGGCGACTAGCGAGCACCAGAGCTTGTTGTCGGCCTTGGATTCGATAGCTGCCAACAGCTCGTTTGTCAGTGCAGAGACAAGCGTAACAAAGTGTGCAAGTCCTGGTGAGGGCGGCGATGGAAGTTCGGAGCAGCCGACATATGCCAACATCGACCCTAGATCTTGGATTGTTTTCGCAGCATCGGCGTCCTGTCCATTCAAACACTTCCGAATGGTAGCCGTACCCTTTTGCAAGAGAGTGGTGAAAGCAGCTGGTAGATCTAGAACAATGCGCTGGAGAGACCTTGCCGTCTCATTGACGAGTTCATCAGATGCGGAAGGGTGTTGTCGGGGGTCCTGCGAGTGGCGTGTGGCAATCTCGAATAGCGTATCACAAATCTCCGCACAGGCTTCGTCAGAGAGTAGTCGAGGCCTTTCTGCTGTGGCATCAACGGCAATTGAAGCCCGTTCGCAAAGAAGTACAGCAGCGCCTTGAACTGCTTCCGCGCCAATTTTGAGTTCTTCTTGGGATGCGTTGGCGTTTTTTGCGGCCATTAATGGAGACTGGAAAACGGCATCGTAGAGCGTCTTGAAAACAGTGTCAATAGAGATAAAATCGGTCAGTTCCTCGGCAGTAATCGTGTGTTTCATGAGTAATATGCGGGTCTCGAGAATTACCCTCAGCAGCCTCAGCAGATCCTGACTATGTGACTCGGACTTTGGGTGACGCAGGTTTTCCTTGATGTGAGTAATAGCTGGAGCTACCATCAGTACAAATGCGGCTGGTGACGCGCTCAGAATCGCAACAAGTAGTCGGCCTGCCGGACCAGCGTACATGGCATTCGAGAGGTCGTTGACACAGTCACGGGTGACGTTGAGCGTAAAGTCACGCAAGTCGTCTCCGCTTAAGCGAGTCGTAAGAGCCTTGAGGGCTTCTAGAGTGGCCCAGATTGTATCCTCAATCTCCCCATTGCGGACTTCGTACTTGAGGCTGCCCCATATACGATTGGCGAAAGGCACCACAGACTGCTTGGGTTCTTCATATTGTTCCAGGCACGCTTTGAGGGTGCGAAGCACATCCACTTTGACGTTGACTGTGACACCATCTCCTTGATCCAACTTTCCGACCAGAAATGGAATAGTGCTATCTGCCAGCGCATGGTGGGCTGCGAAACATTTGCGCAATTGTGATTTGAGCTCTTCGGGAGTGACCTTGCTCTGCGCGGTTCGCGGGAGGGTGATGGGAAAGTAGGCCTTGAAACTGCCGTATACATGTTCCAGAGCCTCCTTTTCGGGAGCATACTGCAACATGTATATGCGTACGATATCGAACCAGACGAGTAGACAGTCGGGGTCGCGCTCGCTGCGGCACAGTTCAATCAGCTCAACAATAAAGCTAGTACTATCATCACGACGTCTGATGTTGGCGGAGACATCTTTGTGTCCTATGAGAGAGCGCAAGAGTGTGTATACTGCCAGTCGGGTCTTGGCTATTTGGCGGGAGAAGTCGTCCTTGAGGGTGCACACTTTTTGGATGATTTCGTAACCAGTCGAGGGCTGGAACGATTTCATGGCGACGATCTTCGAGAGGGCCGAAGCAGATGGCAGAACGCCTGCCTTGTGATCGACATCGAACATGGCACCGAAGAAGCCAATTAAGAGTTTGACTGTGTGTCATTAGCCAGGACGTGGGCTGACGTCGCAAGCAAGCTACGTACCTTGGCTAGCCTTTAATACGTCATTGCCGACATGCTCGAGGGTTTGGGATAAGAACTCCAAAGCTGTGACATTTAGGAAATGAAAAAGTACTCATTTTACAGAAGAAGACATACCTTTAGCTCGCGCCGTCCAGTCGGGCTGTTCCTGAGAGTCATGGCTGTCACCGCTGCTTCCTGGCATCCAGGCCTGTACAGACTCTACCCAGCGGGCGACAGGGTTTGTCGCGGGGGCGGCGGTCTGAAGTTCTGGAAGACGGTCAGAATGAGGTGTAGGGCGTGACGTCTTGTGTCAATAAGACTTGCCTTGTGCGGCCTGTTGAGCCAAGGCATGCTGGTTGTCTTCGTTATCAGCAAGGACAAACTCGAGCGCAAGCTGTCGAAAATCGGCCATGTTGCGCAAGCCAGGGAGCTAAATATCTAGCTAGCACCAAGGCGGTAGAAACTATTGGAAACACAAAGTCTGTGGGTTTCCAAAAGAAGGACGCGCAATGCAATGCAAAAGGGCAGAAATTATCCTCGGGCTGGGAGGCTCAAAGAGTTGGCATTTGCCGTGAGGCGGGGTTCATCAACGACTCTGGTCGACCTCGAGCCAGAGAGAAGGTCGGAGAGAGGGAGAAAAAAAAAGAGGCTAAGACAAGACGAGAATTGAACAAGGCGCTTGCAGGCAAACGATATGAGCAAATGAAGATACTTAGGCGACCGACGACGCCTTGAAGCACCGAGCTTCAGGCAAAGGAAGAGAAAATAACGTCTGGGGAAGAAGAAGTCAAAGGCAAAGAGAAGCAAACGGCTGGGTTGATGAGCGGTTGGTTCAAGATGGGAGGAAGCTTGCCTCTTTGGAGCGAGCCAGTCACCCGGAAATTCCAGAATTCCAGCAGAGCTGCGGCGAAAAAAAGTCCTGTGAGCCAAGTTTGCAGCGGGTGACTGACCAGTCAAAGAGGTCAAAGCAGGTTCAACCAGCCCCAACGCTCGCTAAATGGCCGCTGTAAATTAATTAAACCAATGATGATCAACTGACGTCCCGCGAGCTTGACCTGATTCGCCGCGTGGTGGGGCCGCTGACGTCGAAGAGCCCCCATTTATCTCGGCCTGCACCTCTTACCATACGGCGAAAAAGGAAACGAGCTTGGAACATCTCAATAAAGCCGCTGCCATTCCATTGCGCCCGCCCGTCGTGTTCCCTCTTTCCGGCTCCAAACCAAATTGAACATTCTTGGCTTTGCAATCATGGCCATGGCCTCCTCCGCTCGCGGCCCCGTTTGCCGCCATCTCACAACCGCCGCCGCCGCCGCCTCGCTGCGTACCTCGTCGTCGTCGTTGTCACGGCATCATCGGCTGCTGCCGGTCCAGCGTCGGTGGGCTCAGGTCCATGACGTGCGCTTCCTCACCACCCACAACGCGGTGCCTCGGGCCGTGCTCGACAAGTATCGCGATAAGCTCGACAACAAGGCCAAGAGCGAGGGCCACGCGTCCATTGACGACCTCCGCGCCGCCTACGCCGACCAGATTCTCGCCCAGCGCAAAAAGGGCGCCATCGACCCGGCCATTGACCAATTCATACCCCAGGCACCCGACACTCCAGTCGCCCAGCCCAACCGCGGCGACCTCCCGACGACGAAGACGACAACGACGAACCCCGATGAACACGCCCGGCAAGAAAAGCAACGCGCCGCCGCCGCCGAGGCCGCGCGCAAAACGGCCGCCTCGGGCGAGAAGCCCGCCGTCAAGACGCTCGATGAGATCCTCGACCTCGACAAGGTGCGCGCGCTGCCAGAAAAAGAAATCACCGCCATCTGGCGCCTGCGCCACGCCGCCTCGCCCTCGCGACTCTCCGCCGTCATCCCCGCCCCGACCTACGCCGCCATGGAGGCGCTCGCGCGCCGCGCGCCGCAGTTCGTCCTGCCCGTCCCGCACGAGACCCAGGGCGCCGAGATGCATTTCCTGCAGTGGGTGTTTGACCCGGCCTCGCGCACCAGCACCGTCCTCTTCACCCAGCTCGCCGAGTACAAGACGCGCGGCGAGTTTGCCCAGCCGCACACCACAATCACCCACCACCTCGACCTCGCCGACGACAAGGGGCTCGTTCTCATGCAGGGCCACGTCGTGGACAACCGCGGCGTCAAGCCCGAGCACGCAAAGTGGCTCGCCGTCTGCCTCCAGCGCTTCTACGGCGCCTGGGAGGCCGGCGTCGAGCTGCAAGGCGAGCGCAAGGAGCGCGCAGAGGCTCGCAAGCAGCTGCTCGAGTGGTTTGCCGCCGGCGACGCACGCTTTAGTGTCGAGAAGTTGCTCGAGGAGGCTGAGCGCATGGGCTGAAAAATGTAATCTTAGGATGTACACGACTTACACAATCGGGATAGACTGCCTGGGATGGCATCGTTGTACAATAGGATTGTCTTGCATTCATCTATCTGTACATTAAAAGCCTGACGCTAAATATGCATACAACATGCTATTTTTCGTCAATAGAATACAGCAAGAACATCAAAACACCAAGGCCTCTTCCAAGTCAAAACACTTGTCCGCTGGGGCCCGTATACTCCCATCTTCGCCTTTGTTTTCGTTGCTGCTTCTTGATCATGACAAATTCATATATGTTGCGGCAGAGACTGACAGAAACAAAAAGAAATCGCAAAAGTCACAAGAAAATGTGCCTCAAGTCTTTAAAAACGCCTCGACATGTTTGTCCGACTCCTCAGGCCTTGGATATATGTTGTTGTGTCGTCCGTTGCGCGACCGCCGGCTGCCACTCAGCTACCCCCCCACAGCCAACCGGAACAATGCACTCTTCTCTGCTCGTCCACGTCTTCCACAGGACCTCGCGTACTTCGACAAAGACTTGGTCCACGGCATCCATGGCCCACAAGACGTCCAGATGCTCGTATCCGTCCACCACTTTGCTGTGGACGAGCTTGACATGAGGCTCCCGGCCGTTGCTGAAGCGGCGCAGCAATTTTCGCCCGTCGACAAGCTCGTCCTTTTCGCAGACCCATAGCGCCATGGGCGGCACCCTTTCGTCGTACCAGGCCGTGGCGCCGCGGCCGTACAGCCGCCGGAGCTCCATGTCCTCTTTCGTCTGGACTCTGAGGGTGCCTTGCGCGTCGCCGTGCGCATCTTGCTGGTCAAGCTTGTCTTCGCCGCGCACCGTCTCCCTGGTGGCCAGCACGCACTTGTGCTTGGCGAAGCCGTCGCCGCCGAGCCACCAACGCATCGTCTCGGCGCTCACGTGGACGGGCGCGAACTGGAAGAACCGGTCGCGCAGGCCTCGGTCCCATCGCCCGTCCGTCCACCCAAACAAGTACGAAAACACCTTGTATCCCAGCCAGCCGTAGAGCCGGGGTGGCACCAGCCCATGCATCTGCATCATAAACGGGATGAAGCCGTGTATGCCAAACACGCACCGGAACATGGTTGGCGACAGCAGCCGCACGAACCGGAAATAGGTATTCTTGATCAGCGGCCCGGCGTATACGGCGGGGGCCAGCGCGCAAAACACAGAAATTTTGTCGCCCAGCTCCGGCCGCTGCTCCTTTGCTAGGGCGACAAACGTTTGCGCGGTGCCTTGCGAGTGGCAGACCAGACCTAGCTTCGAAAAGCCCGTGTCGGCGAGCACGCGGTCGATGAGCGCCGAGAGGTCGAAAACGCCCATGTGTGTCAGGTTCCAGCACCACATGCGCGGGTCGCTGGCGCGCAGCACCTCGTGCCGGGGCTCGAGGCCGCAGCGGTTGTTGCCCAGCCACACGTCGTACCCTGCTTTACACAGCCAAAAGGCCATGGACTCGTCGTCGCCGCAGCAGTAGGCGCCAGAGCTCTGTAGCAAGCCGTGGAGCAGCAAGACTGGCGCCTTGCGCTTGGCTTCAGGGTTCCTACGCCGCATCTTGGATTCCTGAAAGATGCGGCGGCGCTTGGGGGCCGATTCCTCGGCGCTCGTGTACTCTGACGGGTCGTACACGTGCCAGAGATCGATGAGGAACCCGTCTTCCGTCTTGACCTTGATTTTCTCGACGTCGAGGCCTACTCTGCGCGCATAGTATGACACGTCGTTGACAATGAGATCCTGGCCGCCTTCGGTGGGCTGATAGCGCTGGGCGAGGTCTTCTTGGTCGACGGGGTCGCTGCCGCAGGACATGCGCCGCTTCCAGGACCGCTCCTTGGCTCGTCGTGTGTCGGCGCGGCGCCGCTCTTCTTCGTAAAAGAGGCGGCTCTCATCGTAATTGCGGAGTGTACATGTGAAGAATGCTTTGTGAATGATGGCGGGGATGCTGGTAATCATTGACGCCAGGACAATGCTGAGGAGGAAGAGCAGGCTGAGGATTGACGAAATGCTCCTGAAGAGTAGATATTGAACCTTTCTGGCGGCTGTTGGTGGTCCATAGACTGGCAGGGCTGCGAACAGGCTCGTGATGTGAAGTCCATTGGCTTCATCTTGGTCCTCTTGTCCTGAGGGCTCACACTTTTCCTGAGGCTGCTTGTCGGAGATGTTGCATTCACCAGGTTCTGCCTTGACCGGGCTGGCATCTGATTGTAGGTCGGACGTGAGACTACTCTGTAAGCTCAGACGTGCTTGTGCGGCATCGTTGGAGGTCAACGTTGTTATCGAAACGATGGGTGTTTGCTCCACCGCAACCATGGCTGAAGTGTCGTGAGGGTGGATTACAGGGAGAGAGATGGTGAAAGGCCGCGAGGGCCTCGCAGACGATATTTAGCTGCACGACAGCCACCCCACAGCCACGGTCATGCAACTGATCTGCAAAGGACGGGGTCTGTTCATGCGAAGAGAAAGTCAATTGATCGAGTCAGACAATGCACAGATCATCAGACTGGAGGCGGAGATTGGGCCCGCTAAACCTGGGGTCGGCGTTTGCAGGCGGAGCACATGTGACAGTCATCTTAGCATAGAAGAAGGACTTCACTTTCAAGTTTTTGATTTGTCTATTCCTTGGATTTTTTGCATCTATTATTATATGAAGCTGATTTATGGATACAGTCGTGGTCATATCTCGTTTGTGTTGAATCCCCGAGCAACTCCAACCTAGCGTCGAGAGCAATTCGGCAGGGTTGAGCACACTAGGGCAAAGTGGTACAACACGAACAGGAAGGATCAAGAAAAATGATGGACCTTCTTCGAGGTTTTCTTATCCGCAGTATGCCACTTTACTGTGAGGCAATTCGTCCTGGCGGTATCGCTCTTAGTCTGAAGCAGCTGGTGCCTTGTAAGCTAATTACTGTACTAACGATGGCTTGCCATTAGGAACGTTAATGACAAATCATTCTTTTCTTGGAGCCGAGGAGAAATGCCGAATAAGGGAGTTGACTTTTTGATTCTTTCTTGTTTATTATATATTACTTATGCTGTACGAGTGGGTTATAGCGGTAACCCTTACGTCATTAAACAAATCACGTAGTTTTTGAGAGTTAACCAAACTATGCATTCTGTCAGGTAGTTAATGTCATTCTTGTCAATAACCATTCCAATCACCAGTGTCGGCGGCTTGCCAGTGCTGTTCATCATAGACGCTGACATTCCGTGAAAACCCCCAGACGGCGCCAACAGCGCCCAGCGGCTGCCACAGCGGGCTTTGACCCCGGATTGCCTCCAACAAGGCCCCAAACTCTACCCAAGCCACCAATGACCCCCTGGAGCATCGATACTAACCGCTTTCGCAAAGACCCCACCAATGGCAAAGGCCGACCCCAGCATGCCCAGCAAGTTAGCAACTCAGCAGCTCTCTCTGCCGAGGCCTGCTCCGTCCACTTTCATGGTCGCATTCAACCGAGCTAGCCATTGCCCGAAGCATTACCTTCTCCAAAAACCTTGACAGTTCCACGCCTCTCGCATCGCATCACGGCCGCTGCTGCACTCCAATTGCACCACTTCCAAAGCTTCGCGCCCCATTTCACCCAGCAGTATTCGAGCTCGCTGCATCCCGCGAGTTCTCGGTACCCGTGTCCCTCGTTCCTCGGCCTGCTCCGGCGAGAGCTATGCTGCGGGGCGGCTAACCCGAAGCTCTGCATCACCATTCGTAGCCCGCGGCAGCTGACAATCTTTCTCTGCTTCCATTGCTCTCGATACCACAGCAGCTGTCTATCCTAAGCCGCCATCATGACGACAGCCTCGACCAGCGCGGCGGCTGCAGTACCTCGGCAAAAGATTCGTCGCCGACGTGCTGACAAGCCTGCCCTCAGCTCGCGCCTCATTCTCGACGACCACATTAAGAGCGATGTCGGCATCCTTTCAGAGGATCTCTTTACTGATCTCTTTCCTCACTTCCGCCAGAGTATGCTGATGCGCCATTACTTGCTACTGGTCCGCGCTGTTGCTAACCTTGCGTGCAGACACCGATAATGAGAATTCCCCCGAAATACACCACATTGCCATTGCGCCTTGGATGCCAAACTCCTCTTCCACCGGCGGCGCCTGGTGCATTGTGCCGGTTGTTCGCTCCTCTGCACTCGCGCACTCGACAGTCCAGTTCTCGCCCTCGTCCCCCGCCCTCCAGAGCTTCGCCGTCACCCTGCAAAAGATTGCCCCCTCCAAGCTCACCAGCCATAGCCGAAGCGGCATCGAGATTTTAGTCCTCGATGTAGCTGCTGTTCCCCTCGAGACCGTCTTTGTGAGTCTGGAAAGCGAGCTTACAAAACGCCTTGAAAATGGCGAAGGTACTTTTTTCAGAGAACACCCTACTCAGCAAGTCGCTCGCGGCACCTTGCCCCAGGAGCGTCTCATGACGGCGCTGCGTGCCGCTCTCGGCACGCTCAAAGTTGTACATACTGGCGATCTCTTCCCGTTGCCGCTGCCACCGCACCCAGTAACACATCTACCACCCAATCCCGGCAAGATTATGCTCTGCGAGCCCGTCGCGCAAGGTGTTTTGACGCCAAACACCAAGGTTGTGCTTATGCGCGGACGAGTTCACCGGCGACAAGAACGGAGCTCATCGTCCCTGAGCCAGCTGAATGGCACTGTTGATCATGGAGAGGATACCAGCGCGGACCAATTTTTCTCTGCTGCTGAAGAGCGTTACAAGACCGATGCCCCTCAGGACCAGACTGAGACAGAAAGCGCAACGGAGACAGAGACCGACCTATCTGGCGCCGAGCAAGAAGACGAGCTCTCGGACGATTCCATGGACGACATGATTTCCCTCGAAGCCCCTGAGCTGCACGCCACCAACGTCAACGGGCCTGGCACCATGGGGCCTGGCACGCCCATGACAATCGCCACTCTGCGAGGCCGCAAAGTTAGCGGCATTCAGACCCCGGGCTCCGTGTTTTCAAACTTTACTGCGACGACGGCACGAGCCGACAGGCCTCGCGGTCGTCTGTTCAAGGCGCATGGGCTCCAGCGACCGATTCCTTCCGAAATATTACATCCGAAACCCGCCGCCCATGACGACGAAGAGGCCAGAATCTACGTCGACATGTCTTCGCTCTCCAAGATTGGGTGCTTTTCTGGTGACTGGGCTCGCATAGAGATGGCTGAAGAGCCACCTGCTAATGGCTTCGGCGCCTTTGGACTCGGCAGCTTTAGAAACAACGACGCAGAGCCCGCCATCTGGCGTCCCGTCAGAGTCTTTGGCCTTCCAGAGGGCTACTCAGCACCGCGAGCTGTAAGCAGGATAGCTGGCTCGCGCGGCGGCGAACGGCGCATGTCCTTTTTTGAATCTCAGATTCAGCGCCCTACCAGCCCTGCAGCGTATGCTTCACCTGTGCTCCTTGCCAACCTCGAAAATGCGACCCATCTGCGGATCTCTGCTCTCAAGAAGTCTTCATACCAAGGAAAAGGCACCAACCCACGCTTCGCAAGTGCGGCGCATCCACCTTATGCTCGCGACATTACCATTCAGCATGTACGAACTCCAGTCTCTGCTGAACGAGCCTACCAGACGGCCGTTCTCGGTGGGCTGAAGCGCTACTTTGCTGACAAGCTACGGTTGGTTCGCACCGGTGATTTAATTGCCGTGTCTGTTGATTCTCAGCTTGGCCGCGCTTTGCAGGAAGCTGTTGGAGCCGGGGGCTCAGAGGTCGACGATGTCATGGCACTCACCACCAGTGATCAGGCCGACGGCTCCCATTACGACGGCGTCGCGTGGTTCAAGGTCGGACACATTCAAATTCAAAAATCTGACGAGGACGAAGATGACACTGCGGAAGGCTTCTGGGGCTCCGTCGCGTGCATCGACAGCTCAACCGTGGCTATGCACGGGTCAGGCTTCGTGACGAGCCGCATCCCTGGCACCAGCCACAGCACCTGGCCGTACTATCTTGGTCTCCGAAAGGCTCCCAAGTTGGAAAGCGATTCTGCGGCACCACAGGCGCTATCTGTCACGAAGCATGAGCACATTTCGCCTCTCCGCCGGCAACTGCGCGAGTTGCTAGTTGCGGCCACCAGCCAGCGTGCAATCCACCTCAAGATGCCGCCCGTGGCTATTCTTCTCACGTCGACGCACCGGATTATCGGAAAAACGACATTGGCGACGACTTCATGCGCGGACATTGGTCTCCACAGCTACGAGATTGATGCCTATGATATTCTCAACGAGGGAGGCGGCAGCGGCAGCGACGTCAAGACGGAAGGTTTCCTGAGAACACGGGCTGAGCGCGCCGCGAGCTGCGGTGCCGACTGCTGCGCCCTGCTCATTCGGCACATTGAAGCGCTCACCGCGGACCGCATCGAAGCCACCTTGAAGGAGATTCTCGAGGACGCGCGTGTTCTCATTGCCACTACCAATAATGTCGACGACGTCCCCGATGGCGTCCGCGCGCTCTTTACGCACGAGCTCGAGATGGGCGCACCCGACGAAGCGGAGCGCGAAGCCATCTTGCGCGGCGTCATTGGCGACCGCGGCATCACGCTGGATCCCAGCATCGATCTCAACTCGATTGCGCTCAAAACGGCGGCCCTCGTCGCCGGCGACCTCGTCGACGTCGTGGAGCGCGCCTCACTCGCCCAGCGCGCACGGCTGGAGGCTCTCTCAGCGAAAACCAGCGGCGACGGTCTGCTCCCGCTCACGGTCCGCGACGTGCAGGTCGCGGGCGGCCCGCTGGCACGCTCGCTGACGGCTGCTGACTTTGACGTGGCCGTGGAGGCGGCGCGCAAGAACTTCTCCGACGCCATTGGCGCGCCCAAGATACCCAACGTGACATGGGACGACGTCGGCGGGCTGAGCAACGTCAAGGATGCCATCACTGAGACGATTCAGCTGCCGCTGGAGCGGCCGGAGCTGTTTGCGCGGGGCATGAAGAAGCGCTCCGGCATCCTGTTTTACGGCCCGCCCGGCACCGGCAAGACGCTGCTGGCCAAGGCCATTGCCACCGAGTACAGCCTCAACTTCTTCTCCGTCAAGGGCCCCGAGCTGCTCAACATGTACATTGGTGAGTCCGAGGCCAACGTGCGGCGCGTGTTTCAGCGCGCGCGCGACGCGCGACCCTGCGTCGTCTTCTTTGACGAGCTCGACTCGGTCGCGCCCAAGCGCGGCAACCAGGGCGATAGCGGCGGCGTCATGGATCGCATCGTTTCGCAGCTGCTCGCCGAGCTCGACGGCATGTCGGGCGGCGACGACGCCGGTGGCGTATTTGTTATTGGCGCCACCAACAGGCCCGATCTGCTCGACCAGGCGCTGCTGCGTCCGGGTCGCTTCGACAAGATGCTGTATCTCGGCGTGTCGGACACGCACGAGAAGCAGCGCACAATTCTCGAGGCCCTCACCCGAAAGTATGTCTTTCCTCTCATCCCAGACCTCCTTTCCTCTACAACTGCCCGCTTTTATTCTTGTTTTCGTCTTTTTTTTTTCTTTTTTTTTCATGCTAATCGAACAATGCAGATTTACCCTCCATCCCTCCGTCTCGCTCGCCGCCGTCGCGCAGCAGCTCCCCTTTACCTACACGGGCGCCGACTTTTACGCCCTCTGCAGCGACGCCATGCTCAAGGCCGTCACGCGGCAGGCTACGGCCGTCGACGCCAAGGTCCGAGCCCTCAACGCCGATCCATCCCGCGCGCCCGTCTCCACCGCCTACTACTTTGACCACTTTGCGACGCGCGACGACGTGGCCGTCACCGTCACCGAGCGCGACTTTTTGGATGCCCACGACGAGCTCATCCCCAGCGTGTCGGCCGGCGAGCTGGCGCATTACGAAAAGGTGCGCGCCATGTTTGAGGGTGGGCGTGGTGGGGGGGAGAAGCAACAGCAACAGCAACAGCAGCAGAGGCCGGGTTCGTCGAGGAGTAGCAGGCCAGGCACGGCGACGGGGTCGGTAATAGGCGGAAAGGGAAAGGGAAAAGCGGTGGCGGTGGCGAGTGGTGAAGATGGCGCGGCGGTGGTGAATGGGATAGTGAACAAGGGAAAGGGCAAGGCGGTGGCGGGGTTCCAGGATGGGACGGCGAGTGATGATGAGGATTTGTATTGAGGGAGAGGGACGGAGAGGGGAAAAGAAGGCATTTGCATGAAGTTGAAAATAGCTTTTTTGTTGTTGGACATGACATCTTCTGGGGAAAAGAGTATAGTGTACTGTACTATTTGTACTTTTTAACATGAGAAAACCCTTTCCAACTTTTGATCACATGTGAACTCGTGCTTATGTGTTGTATAAACAGTTGAAATATTGAATTTTGAAATGCAGAATTGCTTGGCTATGATGTATTCTCATCTTGAAAAGGAGTAATGATTCCGACCTTTTTTCGCCGCAGGCGCATCGTGGTCTACTTCTTGGCCGCTGGCTCCTCCTCATCAGAGTCTTCCTCCTCCTCGCCATCATCGTCATCGTCATCATCCGCTGACTTCGCTGCTGCCTTTGCCTTTACCACCTCAGGTTTGGCCTCTGTCGCAGGTTTTGCTGCCATGGGTTTCTTCTTCTTCTCCTCATCCTCCTCCTCGTCGTCGCTGTCATCGTCTTCGTCCTCGTCCTCGTCCTCGTCCTCGTCGTTGTCGTCATCTTGCTTCTTTGATGCCGCCAGAGGTTCGGGCTTCTTCACAGGACCCTTTACTATTTCGTCTTCACTGTCCTCTTCCTCATCACTACTATCCTCCTCTTCGTCGTCAACTTGCTTCTCTAATGCCGCCGGCGGCTCAGACTTTTTCTCATGACCCTTTGCTGTTTCCTCTTTGCTCTTCTTCTCTTCATCATCGCTACTACTACTATCCTCCTCGTCCGAGTCATCATCATCATCATCATCATCATCATCCACAGCCGCCTGACGCCACTTTCCGCTTGTAGGACTCTGCACAGATGCCCCCAGGGACTCGTGGCCGGCACTCTTCCAGGTTGTACTCGTGGGGGATTGCAGGCTGGCAGTCGCAGTCTTGCTCTGGGACGCGGACGGTGCGGCGCCGGCAGAAGTCTTTGTGGGCGTCTTTGGTCTCGCATTGTCCTGCGTGTCTGACTTAAGCGCTGGCGTGACGGCAGCGACGGCCGCAGCAGCGGCAGAGGATACCGCAGCGACGGCCGAAGCAGCCGCAGCAGCTACAGGAGCTTTGACCCCTGATTTATTATTTGCTTCTTTCTGGGCAACCTCTTCTTCCTCTTTACTGTCTTCGTCGCTGTCATCGTCTTCAGCGTCATCTTCCTTTGACTTCCCATTCGCGGATGACTTCGTTTCGCTGTCCTTCTTGCCATCCGGAGCTGTCTTCCCAGCTCCATCTGTCTTGGGGGCTTCCACCTCTTCACCGGTATTCTTCTTTTGCTCGACCTCTTCGGCACCCTTTCCTTCATCTGCAGCTTCCTTGGTGTCTATTTCGACCTCCCGTTTCCCAGCCTCCTCCTTGCCACCAGTCTTCACCTCGGCGCTATCCTTTTCTTTGTCAACGGCATCTTTCTTTTCCGAGCCGTGCACCTTTTCCTTCAGGCTCTTAGACTTGAGTTCCTTGGCCTTGGCCGCCGCTTCAGTAGCTAGAGACCGCACTGGTAGCTCCTTTGTCTCTGGCGCAGCCTTCTCGCCAGAAGCTTTTTGAGATGCTGACCCGCCAGCAGACGCGCCGACTGCGTCAGAAATCGCCGTGGCGGCTTTTGTTGAGCCTGTCGTCGTCTTCTTGACGGTGCGTTTCAGCTTTGGCGCGGGGTGTTTATTGTGGATGTTGGGTATCGTGTGCTCGTCGTAATATATCTTGACATGCTGCTTCAGCTCGCCGTACTCGTTCCATTCTTCAACCTCGACTAGATCCTATACGTGGCCCTCGTTAGCATATTGCGCCACACTGATGACGGCCCAGATATCCAGGGCAGTTGAAGATGCAACTTGGGGGCAACAGATTATCAAGACGTACTCCTACTACAAAGCCTTCTTGGAAGAGACCGGGTAATTTTCTTATACGGCCGCCCTCGTCTTTTCCCGCTCTGCGTGCCCATAGACGCTTGGCCTTTTCGTTGGTGGCCATGTCGACGGCCTTGAAGGGCACTCGGTTGGCGCGTAAAATAGTCTCTAGACGTGACGTGGCTGTGACAATGTGCGATGATCCGGCCGTCAGAGACGTGAATATGTAAAGAGCCGGGTCCTCTTCAAAGGCAAGCGTTGCCATGGTGGGCGACGGTAGTCGAGCTTTTGGTTTGATCGAATCGATTTTCTGGCGCGCGCAGATTTAGGCAAGGGGGGGCAGCTTCAGAGCGTAAAAATGACGGTCCCGGGAGCCAGGACAGGTCAGAATATGTCTGGGTTTGAATTTGCGAAGGATGTGGCTTGCGCAGCTTTGAAGTTGGAAGCTTGATGGATTGCGAGGGGTAGCTTTTATGACAGCATGAGCTGGTTTAGCTTGCGATAGTTGGATGTGTTAGCGCTCACGTGTACAGTGTACAGTGAAAATAGAACCAGAGGGCATGCTCCTTCTACCCCTTTCAATAGAAGAAATGTTGGCTGAAATATTGTGCTAAATATATTAGATAGAGAGGCAATTTATGTTTGATCTCAAGAGTGCATTCATCTAAGGAGTTCGCTCGTTCCTCGCTCTGCGTTAAAGCCAGAGGTGTCTATCTTGACTTGAAGACTTGCATACCTAGGTACTTACAGTAGAAGCTCGCCTGCGTCCCTTTGTGACTCAAACACCCCCCCCCCCCCTCTTCCCCCTTCCCCGCCCCTCCCTCTAGCGTCGTCATATCGACAGAGCTTTTTCCTAGAAACAGGCCAACAAAGACAAAAGCCTACTACCAATGATATCTATTTTTGATTATTACATCAGCCGCCTTGCCTCTGCGAAAGGCTAATAGACTGTAGGATCGCGTCACTTAAAAGTCACGTGCATAGGATAGGTCCCGGTTAGGCCTTGACCACAACGCTCGTCTCTTGGCTCTACGAATAATAACAGCGGCTGTTGGACCAAAAGCAGTGAAATCTTCAGGATACTCTTTCGGTTCACCGTGTCATTCGTGAAGATCTCGGAGATTTGATGGAGAAGCGCGACCGGAGTATTGCCCAAATGCCCAGGAAAGCGCACACCATCCTTGCTATTAGTACTATGAGCGAACCTGGACAGCTCTGGCGACCCGAGCTGTGGGGGTGGAGTTGAAGCTAGCAACTTCAGATGGCGTCATAGTCGAGACAAGGAAAAAGTTACATGGCATATATTACGACCTGTAGGCGTGGCCTGCCACTTTGCGACCCGGACGGAGCAACTAGAATCTTGGAAGATTGGACTACACGGCGCACTGGGGCCATCGTAGGCCTTGATGTCCTGTATCTTGAGCCAAAATGGCGACATGGGCTCGTTAATGCGCAGCGGTAAAGAAGGCATCGCCTATCAGACGACTCAGAAGCGGTCGTCAGCTTGAGCTAGTCGGGCTACCGAGAATTCGAAACATAGTTTCTGGTTTCGCCCGAGGAGAGTGCATGATTGGAGTAGTTTGGGCGGCTAATAACTTATTGCCAGGGTACGTTGAAGTATGATGCTAAGTCTGGGCAGTCAACGTCGAACTGCAGATTTCGAGAGAACCGACCTTGTGCAGTGATGAAATGCGGGAGCATTTTCGAGGCTGTTTCAAGACAAAACGGGGGTTCAGAGGCTGTCTGGAAAGGAAACAGGTGACCTGACGAGCGCGCGCGCGCTGCGTGAGCGACAAGCGCAGCGTTGAATGAGAGCGTGAGCATGGCGCGGCTGCAACGTTGTGCGTCTCAGACATGGGTCGTTTCAACAAAGGTTGGCGGTTGGGCGTGGGCGGGTACGCCGAGCGCAATGGCATGAAGAAACATGTCTTGAAAAGTGTTTATAGCGATTCGTGTGGTTGCGTTTGTCTTGGTGGCAAGTGTCCAACTACAACAGACGGCCGCCGAAACGGGTCTCCATCGAGACGGGACGAGAGGGGTCATGTTTGAGGTTTGAGGGGGAGCCAAAGTGGTGAAGGTGAGGGAATTCGAGAAACAAGAGCAAAGCAGGAGAGGTGGACAAGAATCATGCAGAATTGAGAGAGAAAGAGGACTTGTAACTTGACCGCATCATGCGTAGCGAAACGAGCATTTACATCGTGGGGGTGATGATGATGGGAAGTTTGTCTGACTTGCCAGACAAGTTTGCGTGGGTTCGAGGCGACAAGGTGACGAGAGCGACAAAGTGTACTTGTATGTCTCACATGTTGATTGGGCCAAGGGACAGGTATACTGTGCGACGGCTGACGCTGACACAGTACAGGCACTCGCTTCAGCTTTCTAGCGCCAAACTCTTGGTGAATCTGGGTTGTCTGGTCCATCAATGACACTAATTACCGAGCAAAAATCGGCGAAGCGTCGTTTGCACCGCGTGGCAACTCTAGTAAAATAAATTAGTTACACCGTCAAAAACCCACAACGGGGCTCTACAACGCCAAAAACAGACTTTTCCCGTTTTTTTCGTTTTTTTGTTTTTTCGGTGCCTGAACTAGCCTCGTCCTCAACCCGTTCTGCCTGCCGGGTCACTCCACAGAACAGCCCTCTTGAGCCAATCAGTGCCTTTTTCTGCCCACCACCTTTTGCGTTCCAGGCCCTCCCAGCCAAGTGCCAACTTATCAGCTTTCATCACGCCAGATGCAGCGGCCAACTGTGTTGCCTCAAATGCAGATGGAATCCATTTTTATCTCCCGTCTGACTGGATCATGATCCAAGTGTGTGTGGATTTTATCTTCTTTCGTGGCTGCTTGTTTCCTGTTGTTCCTGAGCCCGCCAACCATTCATTGTCTCTCAATTTTCATGCACAGTGCGCTGTCACCCGGGCTGATGACCCGGAGCTCGGGTGCCTGAACTGAACTGACTCTTATTGTGAAATCGCGCATCAGATGAGGAATTTTTTCTGCTCTCTTGGCTCTTGCTACTTGTCTCGTCTCTTGCATGTGCCCATCCATTCATTCATTCACTATTACCTTGAACCGATCCCCCCACCCTCATTACTCTTTAGATCTTTTCCTTTAACAACCCGCAGTCTCTCTCTCTCTTTCCGCGTCTTTTCGCAAAGACTACACGCTCTCTCTCTCTCTCTCGCTCTTCAGATCGGATCGCCAGCGCTAGCGCAAACCGGACCATCGACTCTGTACAAGACTCCAACGAACTACTACAGTCAACCGCCTCATCGTTCAAGATGCGCTTCGCTACGCCGCTCGCGCTCTTTGCTGCCCTTGCTGTTGCGCAAGACTCCACCGTCGTTGAAAAGGTCACCTCCACTACGAAGCAGATCGTCACCGTCACCCAGTGTCATTCCACCTACACCGACTGCCCGCTGAGCAGCACCAGCTCTGCCGTCGCCATTCCCTCGGAAGTCTCTTCTACCTCTGAAGTCGCCTCTGAAGTCGCCTCTTCCTATGAAGTCGTCACTCCTTCCATCGTCACTCCTTCTTCATCCGTCACTCCCGCCGGCAACGCCACCCCCGTCTTCCCTACCGGCGTCTTCCCTACCGGCGTCATCCCCTCCAGCACCACCACTAGCGCCACCGTCGTCCCTACCGCTGCTGCGGCTCGTCTTCAGTCTGGCGCCATGGCCGTTGCTGCGGCCGCTCTTGTTGCCCTGGCTCTTTAAATGCCGTGACAACTCAATTATACGCCGATATACCCCAACCTCTCTGCTGGAATTAGCTGGAGGCGCGGGTGTCACTCTTTCACGGCTACATTTTCACGGGGAAGCATGTTTGGAGACTATTCTTGTCGATACATTCGTTTATACCACGGCGAAACGGAATGCCTTTTCTTCTCATTTTCTACTGTTACTAGACAGTACATGGCAATCTCTGAGAGCTCTGCCCAAGCAGCGAGATGCCTTTGATTCTATTTTATGCCAATTTTGATACCACTTTCGTTCGAAAAAGAACCGGACCTGAATATAGAAAATCATTTTTTTTTTCATCAATCATTATTGCCTTTGCGAGACTTATATTGACATGCTGCATATGCTCACTCGTATTCACTGCAGTGGTTGCCCGACGTCTGCCACCTTCACCCACCCCTCCTAGCCGCACCGGCATCTGCACTGAATCCAGCCGCGCTTCCCCTCTCGGTTATCATTAAATACGACTTCAAATCTTGCCTGCCGGTGCAGCCGGAATATGCAATACTGCAATAATACAGATTGATATGGATCAAGTGGCATGCCACCTCATGCTTGGCAAGTGTGTCTGTCACACGGAAATACGCCATCTTTGATTTTTTTTATAATCACAACTTGATTTCATTTTTCAAAGTCACAAGTCAAACTGTTAAAAAGCGCTAAATCCTGATGTTCTCCCCCCCACCCTTTATTCTGGACATTGCACAAATTCATTACGTTTTCCATCTTTTCATCCAGGGGGTTTTCTGCTACATCCTTGCTTGGCTGAAATTCTAGCCTCAACGAGCTCGGTTGCAGGGCCCGGATCTTCCATCCATCAAATCATCGACACTGAGCCTTACCAGAAACAGACGAGAGACGACATGGAAAGAAATTCCATCCAGTCATGTAGAGTCACCAGTATCAGGGGGGAGGGGGGGGGGCCTACTTTCACAGAGCATTGATGGTCACGCGCCGCCAATGCGCTCACTCTCGTACGATATGCACGTCGTAGTAATGAGACATGTCTTTTTTAGCTCACGAATCTATTCTTCTACAAAGGCCCTCGGGGGACAAAACAGACCGCGCATCGAGCCCAGAAGGCTCACTTCGTCTAGCAGTAATCATCTTAAAATATAATCTAAGATGTAATTTTTAGACTACTATATCTATACTTTAGTAGCTAAGGAATTTACTAGTATTTATCTCATAATTTTAAAACCCTAGTCTAGTGAGGTGAGTGACGGTCCCTATGGCAGGTGTTGAGGCTCATCGGCGGTCTGTTTTGTCCCCCGGGTGAAAGGGCAGGCAAGGGGGGGGCGGTCGATGTGCCGATCTGTAATGCAGGGAAGACAGGGAAGACACGATACCTCGTCATCTGACATTTCGGCGCACACAAACGCTGCGGGGGGTTTGAACAGACTGAGACGGATTGCAATCTGCTGAGGGGGGGAAGCTAGCGATTTAGAAACATGTCATAGGTTTTTTTTCTTTAGTATTCTACCACGAGTTTTGCCTGCTGCGCAATCTACCTGAAACCTGGAGCGATGATGCCTGGGGCGCTCGCTTGTGAAGAACTTGCGTGTGACGCATAATTGTTGTATTTACCTTCTAATCGACGTGCAGAAATATGTGATGCGGGTCCGTTTTTGATGCATGGTCAATTTTGTTCTTGCCGTGCTTTTTACCAAGTTTGGCTCGGCCTACATGCGCTTCTTTCCCGATTCAACATGTCGAAATCTTAACTTGCAAGTTTTTTTTTTTTTGGAACAGTTTAGACTGCGGAGATGGGTTTTGCCGAAACTAGTTTGGATCAAGGTGCCCCAAAGCGAAGGGGTCGTGTGTTATATACCTGGTGACCATTTAGAGTCAAAAGATTACAAACTGCATCCAACATGTCCCCCCCCTCCCCTTATCAAAGCACTTCCAATCGTCTCGCCGGAGCCCCAAGCCTAAAAAAATACGTGTACACGAACATTGGCAAGATGACAATTGCTACTGGCAGCTGCTCTAATTAGCTAGGCGACGTCACATCAACACACCATCACAGCCTATTTCGTATGTACTCTAGTTGGCGTTGAAGACATTGCGTCACGCGACAATCCGTAGTAAGTTGGAAGCGGGCCTATCTAGTAACGATACGTACACTGACTCAATTCTACTCTTGCTATTTAGCCCATTTTCTTGTCCTGTGGGGGAAGGGTGTCACCGACCGTCCGGGGAGGGTTCTGTTCCGGGGCCGGGGCCCCTTCATGTTAAGCGATTCGTCCCGTCTTTTTCGGGGTGGGCCTGCCCAGTCGGCCGTGTCCGCTTGATGGCGATGTTTAAGAACCCCGGCGGACGCGCGTTTCACCACCCTACGCGACAACACGAGCGGCCTTTCCGAGCCTCTTCTTTTTCTTTCCTTTTGTTTCTCTTTCCTTTTTTTTTGTCTCTGCGGTTTTCCTGTTCAAGTATCCTGCAGTGTAACGATTTCCCTTTCAGTCATGAGCAAAACCGGCTTATTGCCTTTTGCTAACCTCTCTTCGGCAACCACTACATACAAGTTTGACAACAGAATGCCCAACTAATAGCTGGTCAACACCGGAAAGGCCAGTTGCCGAGGCCGTGTAAGTAGTTAGTTTGATGAAGAAGAGCTGCTTTTTTTTTTTTTTTTTGTCTTTTAGCACCCCTCGTCCCGATCAAGCTTGCCAAGTCTGTCAAAGCTTGCATGGAGGATCGTCCACTTTTTTTCTTTCTTTCCCATGTTTGTCATCTGAACTTGGAAAAGCTTTGTCTGGAACAAACGCGCCAAGAGTGATATGAGGTTGGTTTCATCAGAATGGCTAATTCGACGCGGATGTGAATCTAGAAGACGGAGCTTTTGTCCGCGTATACCAAGAAAAAGAATGAGAGACAACTGGGGGCTCTGTGGAATGAATAAACCTTTGAAATGCATACGCTCGGCTTCATTTCCTTGTTTTTGAATATTGTACATGTCATGTTTGTGGCGACAACTGTCACGTAAATAAACTTTTGATGGTCCCGTTCTACCCGCTCACCGTCTTCAGAAATCTTGGAAAAACGCAAACCACCAATCTAGATCATCAGAAAGTACACTTATAAATCCCTTGAAAGCAAAGTCCCCCTTGTTCCGATCTACCCCTGCAACTGCCACGTTTTCCGTCATCTGTCGCGCTGAACCAAGTCGACGATCCCCTCCCCATCCGTCCCATCGTATCCTCTTTTTGCCCTCCCCATCTGAACTCATCAAACACTCTTTCCACTCATCAGCTCATTGATGTCTTGCGGAGGAGTAAAACCCCCACTGCCCCTTGCAACCCTTTTTTTTTATTTTTTTTCTTCACCATGGCCGCCTGTCAGCTGGACAAGGTTCCTCGGCCCCATCCATCGGATTCTCTCTTTTTTTTTTCTTTTTTTTTCTTTCTTCATCCCGTCTCTTCTATCCTTCTACACAAGAGTCGCGCCATCGGCGCCTGCAAGAAAGAACCTTTAAAAAAAGCAGAAAACATAGTGTTGGCGTAGCTTTGAAACTTATCCTTGTGTGCCCCTTGTCACGAGGCCGGCCAGGTCTCCATCTTGATGCCGAGGTCGTACATTTGTTTGCAGTAGAGATTCTCGGCTGGTTTATGAGGATTTGCCAATTTTGCCTAGAAATCTGTCTGCTTAACAAAAGTAGCTGCAACCGACTAAACGGAGCCGGTTTCCGGAACAAGATAATGATTTTCTTTTTCGGGGCTACCAGAAAATTGTGGGAGAGCTTGGCGCTCTTTTTTCATTTAACGTTATCGCCCGACGGTAATACGGCTATTGGATCGGTCGCCTGTTAACCGGCCCAAACATGTTGTGGAAATTGTCCGGATATAATACCCGTCTCGTTAGACTTGTGTTGCTTCATATCAGTAGCCGAGGTCGTCTGAAGCAATACCCATGGCTTCACATCTTTACCTTGTGCTTCTCGCAAAGTGCCTCTACCTGCATTGTATCAGATAGCGATAAAATCAAACCGTGAGCGTTAACTACTAGCATCCGCTAGTAAAGGGCTGGCCCGGCGCTAAAAGGAAAAAAAAAAAAAGGCCGCAGCCTGTATGTATACCTTGTTTCTTGCGAACCCCATGTCTTGCCTTGATCGAGCTCTGCAACATATAATGAAGAAACCTGGACAATGAGCCAAAGTAAAACCATCACCGAGCTTCTTCGGCCAGAGACGAAAAGCATACTCAATCTCTATGCAGTATACGCGAATCAGCAGCCCTTGTCAGACCGGCAGCGACCATTTACCCTCCTTGCAAGTCAACAGTAGTAGATAATCAGCCGACCCTCCATCGCGACGCTAGAAACACATGCCCGGATTCTGGGAGCAAAGCAGTTGCTCCTCGTATGATATCTGCAGCTCTCATTACTCGTGTGACTGGCACAATCGGTTTAGCACCACTCAGCTGCGCGTCCTCGCCAATTACCGTTCTGCGTCAATCATTATTGTCTCAGTTGATTACCTTCTTAGTCTATCCCTTTGTCTCTTATCCACAGATTTGCCCTTTTCTAGTCTTTTCTGCTTTTGGCTCTGATTTTTTGCTCGCGCTTTACTGTGATACGCCATTGACGTCATGGCCATGTGTTTTTTTGGCCTATGATGATGCTGGCATAGCTTGATGGCACAACTAGCATATTGGCGCATAAGAAAAAAACAGTATGCAGCCGACCGGGAACCGTTGAGGCAAAGCGGATAGCTAATATCTGCTTTGAAAATCCTCAGAAACTCAATAGGGCAAAGGAACCGAGCTTCATACAGAATCAGAGCATGTATTCGCAATCCTCCGCCATCTAGATCGACCATGGTCGATGAAGTCTATCTGAATCGCCCGCTCGTCACTGCCGGAGAGCCGAGCGACGTTCCTGCTTTGTCCCGCTGGTGGGTTATCATTGCCCGTTTGATAGGCTACGAGATTCGAAACGGCGGTGACCGTTGTTATCATTGTGGTTATTACGAAGCAAAT